CTGCTCACAGCCACCTGGCCTCATTGCAGGCATGTCATTAACATGAATTTTTATTCTTGGTTGGGGCACTGTGTGCTGATGTCATGTGGCAATTATGACTGCTACCTGTTGGGGTCTGTCCTAGGTTTTGCCTCAGGCTGCCAAGTCTCAAGCAGGTTTCTAGGAAGAGTCAATCTGAAATGCGGCCCAGTTTGTTCTGGTAGCAGGGCCCTGTCATGGCCCGTCGTTGGAGCATCTGTAGCCTGTGAGGGGTGATGGGGCACGAAGACCACGTGGTATCAGAGACAGCCCCTCCCCACTGGCGGGGTAGTCCCTGGACACCTGAGGGGCAGGTGTCCCTAAGTTTGGGTGAGGTCACCTGACCAGTGGCTTTTGTTTGACAACTTCCCGCGTACCTGCCCCTGCATCCCCGGCCACTTTGGTCTGTAATTCCACCTTTTGACTGCCCTGCCCTCTCCAAGCCCTCCTTGGAAAATGCAAATCTGGTAACATAGTCCATCCCTACAGCCAGGGTGAGTGCTTTATCAGTTTCCTCCTGACCCTCCAGGGCAGTGCCTGCCCGGCCTCAGGCAGGACCTGGCGGAGGCTAATGGCTCACATGGAACTGGACGTGCTCCCTCCACTCACCTCCTGCTCTCCCTGCCTTCCCTGGTCCTGCTTGACACCGGGGGAGCCCAGAGCTGCTGAGGGCCTCGGCCCTGGCAGGGCGAGGGACACAGTTCTCATTCTCTTGCCCAAGGACCCCTGAGGCCAGGAGAAGAAGGGTCCCAAGGGAGCCCAGCTCCTGGCTAGGGAGGCAGGTGCCACCTGCCCGTCTGCCTCCTCCCTGCCTCTCCGTACATTCCTCCCCCTCCCTCTGTACCCTCCCCCGCAAGCATATGCACATCTCACAGAGTCAGGGATCTTTCCAGGGAAGCAGATGGGAGAGGGTCAGGAGACAGACTGGGTTTTCACACGGAGTCAGAGGTCCTGGACCATGAAATAAATAAAAACTTCACTCACTGGGGCTTTCCTGAGCCGCTGAAAATCCTTACATTGAGGGAGCAGGGACAGCCCGCTGGGCATCCAGGCTGCCATGTCTGCAGCCAGAGTGACGCCTGATCAGTCTCCGCTCCTACCGTATGCTCACCTGTGCTCTGTGCCAAGGAGGGATCAGCTCTGCTGGGGATGAGGGTATACACCTGAGGGCACAGGGCGCACACCTGGATACAGGGAACACACCTGGATACAGGGCACACACCTGGAGATGCAGAGCACGCACCTGCGGGTGTAGAGGTCATGATTTACTGTGGAAACACAGTACACACCTGAGAATACAGGCCACACCCCAGGGAATGCTGCATTTGGTGGGTTGGCATTTTGACTTCCTGGCATGCTTTTCCTCTAAGTGACTTTGTGTTTTGTCATGGTGGAAAGAGGGTGGCATGGGTAGAAATGGGTATGGAAGGCCACCCTGGGGGCCTCACTGCACCCCCAGAAACCATGATGGCAGGAAAGCAGCGGGGAACCACAGCTTCCTTCAGGGGAGAGAAGCCAGGCGGGTCGGGGGCTGGAGGCTGGCGCTGGGAGGGAGGCCCCATGTGTGGTCTGTCGTCATTGTACAGAGGGCTTCTCTGGGCACTGCTGTGCTGCAGCATACCTCTGCTGGAGCCCTCGGCTTCTTCTAAATTAAATTTATTGTTATTATATCCTTATGGGACTAGTGCATGGATTTATTGGAGCAATTCAAACCACAGAAGCACGTGACCCCCCCCAGCCCAGCCGCCCGCAGTCTCTGTGCCAGTGCCGACCCATCTCTCTCGTCCCCACTGTCTGTTTTCCCAGAGCCGGGTGCGTGATTCCCGCTATTCCACGTCCTGCTTCTCCACACGACAGATGGTAGTCTTGGAGGTCTTCCTCTATGTGCACATGGGGTCTAACTCTTTCAGTTTTTTTGTTAGAGATATTTTATTATGATAATGCATGTTCATAGTAAAATAAAGTGGAAACCCAGAACAGAGAGCTCTGTTCTGGGTCTTGTGGCTGCGTCACCTCTGCAGCTTCAAGGTCACAGACTGGCTGGCTAGGGCGGTGGGGGCGGAGAGGGGATGTCCTGCTGCACCCACCTCCCGCCTGGTCACTACTCTAGGGCACTTCTCTCTGCCATCACCTCGAACATCTCTGTGGACAGACTCTAAGTGAAAACCCGCGAACACACCCAGAAGCAGCCCTGACACGGTGCTGACAGGAGGCCCGTCTCCTGAGCCCACGGCTCCAGAAGGAGACGTCCAAGGTCGAAGCTGCCGGCTGCCTGCTACAGAGAGACCCTGGGCCAGCCGCCCCCAGGGTTGAGTTCAGAGGGCTCCTGCTGGCAGGTCTCCTGTTCACTTCCTGGGCTTCTCCCAGCCTCCATGGCCCTGTCTGTCTCTTCCCAAACTTTCTCCCTGGGCTCCCCTTCCAGGGCTGCCTGCAGACTCCGGGCCTCCTGCGCCCTCTCCAAGGGTAGCTGAGGGTTCCTGCCACGCTGCCATCTACAACCTGCTTGAAAAGTGTGGCAGAGCCACCGAGCTCGTCCGTCTGCAGCCATCTCCAGCGCCTCGCCCCTCGGGGCCAGGGTGTGTGTACAGAAGTCCCAGCTGGAAGGGCTTTTCTTCATGACATTTAAAGCACAGTCCCTTTTCTCCCGGGGGCCAGGACAGCAGACAGAGACCAATGCAGCCTGACCGCATTTTCTCTGCCACCCACTCACCAACATGGGGGTTTCAGTCCCGTGGGGTTCGGGGCAGCATTGGTGGAGACGCTGCACGCAGAGCAGCGCACGTGCCAGTGCCCTTGTGAGGCTCCAGGCTCCCCTCACCTTCCCCTCCGACCTGTCTAGATCGACACTCACTGCCATCTTACCTGCCTTAATTTCTCCTTGGTGCACCTCTCACTGCCTGAAGCCACCCCGTTTCCCTGTTTGTTTACTTGTTTGTTTACTTGTTTGTTGCCTGTGTCCAGTTGGAAGGTATCGCTCATGACAACAGGACTTTTTCACATCTTATTCAGTCCTTTACTTGACTGTGGAGGCAGACCTCCCGGCGTGGTGGGGCTCACTCAGCCCCACGCTGAGCAGGGTGGGGGGGGGCCAGGGGGAGGAGCCCTGCCCCTGCCCCCCAGGTCCTCGCCATAAAATAGTGCTTCTAGGAAATCTGCAAAACACAGAAAAGCACAAGAAGACCCATGGTTCCGACACCCTGGACAGCCATCCCTGATGTCACTCGGGTGGGTTTTCCACTCACAAGATGACGATTCCTGGGCCATGGAACCTGCACTGAGTTGGAAGCATCCTAAGAGGTTTCCTTCTCCTTGACCAAGTTGAACAGGCATGCACATTCCCCCAGTTCGGCTCCTGCTTCTAGTCATTTCTCAGTCACCGTTCCTTCCTGGGCACCGAGGGCTGAAGAGGTGCCATGTGAACACACTCAGCAGATCCTGGAAGGGGCTCCTGTTTCAGACAAAGAAATGGTGTCAGGAATAAACCTGAAAGCGATTCTGTGACACCTGACTCCTCCTCACCCTGATGCTGGATCCCTTGGAGAGAGAGCGCTCCCTGCCCCACACCTGCGCCCTGCAGGAAGCCGGACATGCAGGTCCAACTCTCATTCGTGCCCAGAGCTGGCTGCATCCTGCGTCGGGTGTCCGGGATTCCCTGCAGAAGCAGGTGTACTTTTTGTGCCATCACAGAGGACAAGGACAGGGTGGGACCCTGGTCTGTGAGGCTCTTAGGACATTCAGTCCAATGATCGAGGGCATTTGACTTCTACTCATTGGGAATCTGTAGGATCTTGGGTTCAGCAGGGCCCCCAGGACCCCCCACGATGCCGGGTCGCCCGTCTTCCTCTGTCTGACCAGTGCTGAGAATGCAGATTTGAAGGGGATTTTCAGTACACGGCAGAATTGTGAGCAAGCTTGCTATTCATGGCACAGACTGTTGCCTGGATTTTGCGCTGTGTGCCAGTGGGTCCTGAGTGCTGTCCCTCGTTGGGCCCCTGGTGGCATCTGTTCTCAGCGAGGCAGAGACAGAGGTGAGCTCCAGGGCTGCACTGCTCTAGGAAGCTGCTTCTGAGGGACCCATGGGGATCTGATCTTGGGGCTGCGCATCTTGCGGTCTCGCCCTGGCCACCAGCAGTGAGGCAGTGGGAGGCTGCGTGGCTGCAGATGTGGGAGAGGCGTTGGCGTTCTGTGGTCCTGAAACCTGCCAGAGGCAGCACAGGCTCCTGGCTTCTGAGCCCCCAGGGACCCAGCCCAACTCTGGGGATCAGGTGCCTCACAGGGGCAGAGACTCATGGCCAGGCTGGGGCAGGATCCCTGAGCTCACCACATGGGGCCCCCCCGTGGTGACCTCCCCGCAGTGCATGTGGCACCCCACCCTGCCCCTGGGGCACAGCCGCAGTCGGCCCTCAGGGTTCCTGGGCAGATGCCCCAGGGTCTCCCTCTCCCACTCGATCGAGTGCAGCAGGCTCAGCTCCGACGTGAGGGTGGCAACCAATTCTGGATACCCTCCTCCCCGAAGATGGCATCACTCCCTGGACCCCTGGAAGAGTGTCTTTCTGGGGAGTTACCCAGCAGGTGTGGCCCAGGGAGGAGACTGTGATGGAAGAGTGACAGGGAGACGAGAGGGTCCTGAGCCTCCAGGTGGCTGGGCCGGGTATACCACCCGTGGCCCCACCATTGCTGATGGCTTTGACTATTCAGGGAGTAGCCCTTCACCTACGAACAGCTGGCAGGGTGCTGGTGTGAGGGGCTGTGCCGGTGCCATGTGCAGCAGCAAGACAAATGCTCACCATCCTGCTGTGGCCACCGGCGCCAGGGCTCTACCCTCTCATGCCTGGGCTTGGCTCTGAGGGGCCCCAGGGGCCCTGCCACATCGTGGGTGCTGCCAGCCTCCTGTCCTGTGAGCGGGCAGCTGGAAGGGCCTTGGGCAGCGGCCCCACAGAAACAGAATAACCAACCCCCTTCTTCTCCCCTTCCTCCGCCAGAAACATGGCCGACAGCAAGGCCAAGCCTGCCAAGGCCGCCAACAAGACACCCCCCAAGTCCCCAGGAGACCCTGCAAAGGACAAGGCGGCTAAGAGGCTGTCCCTGGAGTCAGAAGGTGCCAACGAGGGGGCAGCCGCCACGGCCCCAGAGCTCAGTGCCCTGGAGGAGGCCTTCCGGCGGTTCGCGGTGCACGGGGACACCAGGGCCACCGGGAAGGAGATGCACGGCAAGAACTGGTCGAAGCTGTGCAAGGACTGCCAGGTGATCGACGGGAAGAACGTGACCGTCACCGACGTGGACATTGTGTTCAGCAAAATCAAGTAAGTGCGCCAGGGCTCTCTTGCCGCAGAGCCGGCTTCCCGGAGGCCTGTGGTCAGCCAGGCCTCACGTCCAGGGTCCGCTGGTGGGTTTTGTGTCTTAACGGGCTGTGAGGTGATGTGATGCTTTGAGATCCTTCCCTTTCCAGAATCATATGCCCAGGAATGAGAACCAGAATAGGCTGCCTTGGGGTGAGCAGGGAGTGGGGTGGCGGGGGGGATATACTGCCCTGCCCTTGCGAGTGTGTGGGGGGGGCCCAGTGTCAGAATTCCTGGCCCACTGTGGGCGGAGTGTGAAAGGCGGCACTGTGAAGCCTGTCCCTGAGGTGTGACCTGCATCTCGCCTGCCCCTGCCCGCTGCCCCTTTGCTTTGGGGGATGGTCACATGAAGACGACTGGGGTTCACAGTTAGCACCTTCACCTGCGACTTCACCTGCAACTCGGTGACCTTGGGCGGTGCACTCCTGTGCTCCCTCTGTGTGCACGTGCACCCGTGTGCACACATGTGTCTGCTCCGTGCACCTGTGAAGACACTGTGCTGTGCGTGTGAGTGTGCATGCGCGTGAGCACATGCTCCTGCACACGTCCTGCCCCCTGGACACCGGGAGCACACCCAGGAGTGGTGACACACACCCTGTCCCATTCGGCTGGGCATCTCTGAAGCTCGAGGACGTTCTCCCAGCCTCCTCAACCCACAGCTGCACATGAGAGAATTAACGGCATCCCCCAAGGCCACCAAACATCCAGCTGTCTCTGTCCAGGTTGTGCTTGTGGCTGGGAAATGGCTTTATTTCAGCTCATCTCTGGACCGTGTCCATTGTGGTCGATGTGACCCTGCAGTTATGTGATGCTGTGATCTCGCCATCTTTCATCCCAGGTGTCCCCACGCCCTCCCTGTCAATGGTCTGGCTCCTCCATCTACCCATCCTCCAAGCACAGAGGCAGTGAACAGTTTTTTTTTTCTTTGTGCCCCTGAGCCTAGGACTTCATGTCACCACTTTGCTTGTGGAAACAGTTTGGTGTGCCTTCATCATAGTGTGGTCTCCCCGACTCCCCAGCTGGTCACACCGTCCTGCCAGCCACCCATGATGGACAGGCAGCCGTCACTGCTCTCCAGGGGTTGGCTCACTCCACCCAGCGGGAGGTGTACCAGGTGGTCTAGCTGGGGCAGGGCGGAGGTGTCCCCACAAGTGGCCCCCGGGGGTCGATCAACTGGACCTAGTCATGGGGCACAGGAGGCAGGCACTCACCAGGTGGGAGGGACTCAGCCTTTCCAGTCTCACCTGAAGAGGTAGAACCGTTTCAGATTGATGACAGTCAGGCCGGAGCCCCCGACACAAGAGCACAGGACTTGGGCTCCTGGTAGACTCTCGGTCTTCTGGGCGCCTATGCCTCCTCAAGGCCCTGGGTTAGCGGGGGGGTGTGGGGATAGGAGCTGAAGGAGGAGGGGGGCGCAAATGAGGAGGAGCAGGAGGTGGGTGCAGGCGAGGAGAAGGTGGGCACAGGTGGGGAGGAGGAAGAGGCAGTGGGCACAGGTGAGGAGGAGGAGGAGCTGGAGCAGGGACTGGTGTAAGGCCCAGTAGGGTCCCTTCAATCTGTTCCCTGGGCAGGTCCTGCAATCCTTTAGCGTTGGCCTTTGCAAGCCCAGTGTGTCCAGGAGAGACAGAGGGCAGACACAGGAGCAAAGGAACCCCAAGAACCGTGTTTGTTGGGGAATGTTGCAGAAGGGCTGGGGGAGGTGGTATGTCCAGGGCAGGTCAGCCCTCCAGGGAGAGCATGGGGCCCACACCCTCGACACTGGCCCTGCATGCAAAGTGTCGGCAGGTGGGAGCAATTCATTTCCTCCCTCCTGGTTCCTTCTGCAGTAAGTTGCCTTTAAGCTACCACATGCAGGCATGTGCACCCATGGGCATGCAGGAGCCCACAGCCCGTACATACCTACACAGACAAGTCTATGCACACATATGCACACGTGCACAAGCTCACCATACACCTATGCACACATGCATGTGCACACAGGTAGAACTTAGGCTGCCCATAGCCGTGCAGCAGGGGAGGTGGCAAATGTGGTGGTGACTCATTCAGGACAAGTGCCCTGGACAGGCCCAGAGACCCTGTGTATAGGAGGCACGTGCACCCCGATGCCCACATGGGGGGTGTTGGCATCACAAGAGTGAGTGGGCACCAGAAAGGACCCCATTTGCTCCCCATACCTGTCCTAAGAGGAAGGACATCGGCTGCCCAGACCCTTAGGGGCTGAGGTGTGTCCCCAGCTCCCCGGTATTGGTGGGATCCTCACTGCAGAGCCCAGGGGACCCCCAGTGTCTCTGCCCCAGCTCACTGTAGGGAACATGGAATGGGGGACCAGCCAGCTGTGGCTGCAGCCCAGTGAGGGTCTGTGGTCACTACACAGTGAAGACCGGCCTGCGGTGGCCGCAGGGCCCCCTTGCCTGGGTGGTTTGCTGGACACCACAGGATTACAGTAGGAGGGATTCACGTCCTTGTCCCTCTGATGGGCAAGGTGGACAGTGCCCTGGGCAGGGTTGTAGGATCCTGCAGGACGGGCGTGGAACCTCAAAGTTGCTGAGTTGGTGGAGAAGAGCAGCAATTTCTGTTTGGGGGCGGTTGCCAGGGCTCCAGGCGGTGACGCCAGCCAGGGTATCTGCAGCCTTTGTTTAGATCCTGTCGCCATGGCAGTGCCTGTTTGTTTTGATGTTACTATGTGTTAAATTTTAAACAAATTTCTTGCAGCTCTATACCAAGTCTTGACTAAAGACTATTGTTACCTAGACAAAGACTCCAGCATCCTCCATGCCCCAAAGGACAGACAATAGTCAGTCTGGAATATTAATTAATCAGGACCTTGTGTACACAAGCAGGAATATCACCCCGATACACCATTTGGGGGGCTGTGGACAGCAATGTCCCCTTCCATCCTGCCTGCATGTGCGGGTCAGGCACTGGGCCCCGCCCTGCAGGGGAGAGGCCCGACCAAGGGGGCAGAGGAGGGCAGGGGTCGCTGTTGCAGCCTCTCGTGACCCACGCACACACCTGTCCTGTGGGTGCTGCGTGCTCTCAGAGAAAACAGCCTGTGTCCTGCGACACGGGTGCAGTGAGACAGCTCTGCAGCCCTCGCGTCTGGCGTCTGCGTCCTGTGTTAGGAGGGAGAGGTGGGCGGGGCTCCCTGTCACAGAAGACCTGGAAAGCTGCTCCGTTCTTGCTACACATGCTCTGGTCACAGCCAGGACATGTGGGAATTGTCTGAAGCAGGGGTGCCTGAGCCAGGGGTGTGAGCCGCAGAAGCCCAGCACAGAAGCATAGGCCCAGAGCCCAGATGCCATCCCGAGTCTGTCCAGCGCCCAGAGCAGGCTGAGCCTGTAGTAGGAGCACCAGCAGAGTGCAGTGGTGGGGTGGGGGTGCCATGGAGGGGCTGGTGGAGTGGGCGGAGCTCTGAGTGTGATGTGATGCCTGAGAAACACCACCAGTGTCACAGCGGGCGGCTGGGGCTGGTGGTAGTGCCTGCTCAGGGCCCCGAGGCTCCCCCAGCCCCGCTTTGCTCCTGGGCCTGAGGGCTGACATGCACACTCTCCTTGGAGGGGAGGGCAGCCCCTCCCTCCAGGAAAATGGTGAGGGTGGGGCATGAGAGAGCAAGAGAGAGAGAGGTGCACCCAGTCCCCGGCTGTGCTTTCTGCCTTACATTGAGGGCCTTCCGGAGTGGGGGTGGCCATGGTAGTTCTCTGTGCTTCTCTGTGGGGCCTTGTTGTGAGCACCAGGGGCAGTACAGGGTGTCTAGTGGCTGTCACCCTGGGCTCCACCCCTCCCAGGTGAGTCCAGCCCCAGGCCCCCCTGTCCCCGTGTCCGTGCCACCCCAGCCCTGCACTGGGCAAACACCAAGTTAGAGTCAGGAGGAACATGAAGGGCAGCTTTTCCTGCTTACGGGAAGTCACTGCATGTGCATGGGTGGGGTGGAGAGGAATCACAGCTGCCCCTTCAGGCAGGTCATGGCCATCAGCAACCAGACCTGTGACTGAGTAGCTGTCAGCAAGTGTCACCCACCGCAGCCAGGTCTGCACTGCTGGCTCTGTGCTCGCTGGGGCCCAGGTAGGCGGGGCTGCTCAGCGGAGCGGGTGGCCCTGGGCAGGGGTGACAGCGAGGGTCTGCCAGGACAGCCCTCTGCAAGCACAGCAAGAACCCTCCAGGCAGGACTCCCCCAGAGGTGCATCCCCACCAGACATGCTCCTTCAGGAGTCCCCACATCCCCACTGACCCAGGGGATGATGGGAATGTCACCCATTCCTGGCCCTCTGCCCCTCATCAGTGCCTTCTGGATAGGTCACTGCGTCCCAGCTGCTGCTGGTCAGGGGAGCCTGGGAGAACTAGCACTTTCTCAGAGACTCCTCCTTCTCCTTCCAATCACCCCTGCCCACCGTCCTGGCCAGGGGTCCAGTAGGCTGGGAGCCACCTCTCAGCAAGGGCGTCCTGATAGTGTGCAGTTTGCTCTGGTTCACAAAGGTGCTGGCTAGGAGGGGACGGGGGGTGGGGGACACAGGTCACAGTGTGCCATCCTGGGACCCTTCCTGGTATAGGCCCTGCAGGCACACAGGTCTGGGTCTGTCCTTGGAAGGCTAGGCTGGCCTCTGGTGTCCCTGGGTGACCTTCAGGAGCAACTGGCCCAGCCGCCTCCCTGCCTGCCCTAAGTTGGGCCTGGAGGCCCAGGGGACGCAGGGGCCTTGTGTGAGCGGTGACCCCGTCACTGCTGGGCTGGCCTTCCAGCAGAACAACAGCCTTCTGAGCAGGGGCTGGTGGGGACGGGGCGGGGGGGCTCGGTGTGGGGACACCGCCGTTGTGTGCACTCGAGAACAGGCTCAGTCTGTGTGTGGAGGGCAGCGTAATGCGATCGTGTCTCCGGGGAAGGGCTGGCATTGTCACTCTAGAACTCGCCAGGGACTCTCTCCGCAGCAGGGAACCGGGTCCCCTGGGGAGACCCACCCATCGGTCACAATGGGGACACTGGGGGACACCCGGCTCAGCCAGGTGGAGTGGGCAAGTCAGGGCCCTGGGCCTGGGCGTCCACCCCAATCTGACTGTGCCCTTTGACAGGAGCCCCTGCAGGCCAGCTGCCCACCCCTGGCCCGAGTGACTCACACTGGTGGCGCCTGGTGCCGCAGTGCCCAGAGAGGGCTGCGTGTTCTAGCAGCCGCCACGGGGCCGGCCGTCAGGCCTGGGGTCCACACGCCAGCCTGGGCAGGCAGTGAATAGGAGACAGGAGCGCCTGTGACAGCCCAGGACAAACAGGGCTCCTCCGGGGCCTGGAGGTTACCCACCCGGTAGGGTCGAGAGGAAGAAAAGGGGCTGTGTCTACATCACTCCAGGCACCCCAGGCTGAGGGCAACTGCCCAGAATGGCCTCAGTGCCCTCAGACCCCAGTGCGTTTGTAAGTGTCCCCCAGAGCCTCCAGGGACAGAAGCCGCCACCGAACCCTGGGTGTAACGAAGCCCTGGTCCGGCGAGTTACCCAGCCCCTGCCCTGTGGCTGTCAGCACAAATGCCCTTGGCACAGATGGCTCTGAACGTGTCCGGGGGGCCCTGCTCCCCATCCCTCCTTCTGAATGGCCTCCCGAAGGGGTGAGGCTGGGTGCCCCAACACCAGTTAAAGAGAGCTTTAACCAGCTCTCTCCTGGCTGCGACACGTCAGTCAGTGTGTCCTGTGTCTTCAGACGTATGTGCAACATGTAAGGGACTCCCCGTGCCTGCTGTGGGTGTTCCTGGGTTTCGGCGACGACGAGCAGAACTGCGAGTGGAGCGGCGAGAGTTGTGAGCTCAAGTTTTCATTTCTCTTGAGTAAGAACCTAAATGTGGGGTCTCAGGGTTGTGCTGTAGGTGTGCCCTTCAGGAAAACACTGAACTGCCTTCCACAGTGGACGCCACGTTGCGTCCCCCTGGGCTGTGTCTGAGCCCCAGTGGGCCTGCGTCTTCTCGGCCCTGGGGATGTCGTCACCTTCATCCGGTCACTTGGGCCGTCCTGTGGGACTGAGGCGTCTCCCCGGGAACTGACAGGGTGCGGCCCGTCCACGCTCTCTGTTGCCACCCACGGGTCTGCGGCAAAGTGTCTGCTTCGGAGATCCTGTCCGGTCCTTTACATTGGATTCCCTCTTGTTGTTTTAGGAGTTCTTCATACCCAATATGTCCAATACAGTCCTTTGTCAGATGTGTCCTGTGAGTCTTCTTGCCCAGTCTGTCACTTGTCTTTGCATCACAGTGTCTTTAGAAGAAAACGGTTTAAAAAATTTTTAAGTCCAAATCTTCTTCTTCTTTTTTTTTTTAATGGGCTGTTTTCTGGTATTACTTCTAGGACGACTTTGTCTAACCTAAGGTCATAAATATTTCCATTAGGTTCTTTCAGAAGTTGTATGGTTCTAGGTTTTGTAATAACTCTGAGTTAACTGCAGCGCAGACCGAGGCCACGACTTCACGTGTGGGTGTCTGGTTGTCCCAGCCGATGTGTTGCAACCATGATCCTCGCTCCACTGAATAGCCTTTGCTCTTCTGTTGAAAACATTTTTGCCATTTTGACCTGGGGAAGATCTGGTGAAAACGGCCAAAATGTTTTTAGTTAAAATCACCAAAGCTGAAGGGCCAGGTTAGAGCCTGTTGGAACTGCGTGACAGACCTCCCCTGGGGACTCTGTGCTGTCACCAGACGTGTCTGGATGAAGCCCCCTGCCCAGCCCCCTGGCCCGCTGTGTCTGCTCCCCTGGTCCAGCACCAGTCAGGCCCCAGCAGCCTTTGGGCAGGGGACCGCAGGGGTCCTAGCCGGTGGGCCTGACGTGCACACCCCGGGCTCACCTCGTCGGGTGTCCCGGGGAGGGGCCTCCCTCTCGTCCCCGTGCGGCAACCACAAAACAGACCGCCTCCGGTGGCCTCAGAACCTCCCCCTCGTGGTTCGGATCTGATGGGCCTCTCACGCTCACTTTTCTCTGAAAGTCCTTCCCTGACTGGAGGCCACACACGTCCCATTTAGTGCCAGACAACGGCTTTGTTTTAATGTCCAGTTGTTCGTGAAGGATGTGCTTCCTTTAAGCTTTTTTCCACAATTTATATTTGCTGCTGTTGCCGATGGTGACTGACTGTTGGGTGTAAACACTGCAGGGGAGGGGCGTGCTCTGTGTTTTAATGTCAGACTTGCCTTCTGGTGTGGGAGGGAGAAGCGGGGTGGGGTCTGCAGGCAGGGCTGGGGCCCCCAATGTCAGCAGGTTCCCAGGCAGTGCTGAGGTCCCCCAATATCAGTGGGTCCCCCAGCAGTGCTGGGGTCCCCCAGTGTCAGCAGGCCCCTGGGTCCCAGCCCAGCAAGATGAGTGGCCAGTGCCCCTGAGTCCTCTCTCCCTGCAGAGGGAAGTCCTGCCGGACCATCACGTTCGAGCAGTTCAAGGAGGCGCTGGAGGAGCTCTCCAAGAAGAGATTCAAGGACAAGAGCAGCGAGGAGGCCATCCAAGAGGTGCACAGGCTCATCGAGGGCAAGTCCCCCATCATCTCGGGGGTGACGGTGAGTGCAGAGGGGGGGCGGGACCCTTGGGAAGCAGGGCCGTGACATGTAGGGAACTGACGGCAGTGGCCTAAAGATGGGGTGGGAGCCTTCATTCCCTGAGTGTGGGCTGACCCAGGCCACCTCCCCAGACCGAGAGCCCCAAGTGGATTCCAGGAGCTTTAGCGTCCCCTGTGCATGGGCTTGGCCCCTTTGGTTGAAATCTCCCCTCTCCAGCTCCCCTTGCGACACCCATTCTTTTTCTGTGGTTCGGCTACAGTTAACCCCTCTCCCCACTTTCCTGCAGAAAGCCATCTCCTCGCCCACCGTGTCTCGGCTCACAGACACGACCAAGTTCACAGGCTCCCACAAGGAGCGCTTCGACCCGTCTGGCAGGGGCAAGGGCAAAGCCGGCCGCGTGGACCTGGTGGATGAGTCGGGCTACGTGCCAGGCTACAAGCACGCGGGCACCTACGACCAGAAGGTGCAGGGGGGCAAGTAGCCAGTCCCCGCGGACAGGGCCTTCCTCTGTTTCTGGCCCCACATCACCTCACACTTCTTTACATTCCTGGGCTCACTGGGGCAGAACTCAAGACGCCGGGGCGGGGTGGCTGTGGGTGACTCCCAGGCCTCTCTCCTGCCTGGGGCCCCCGGCATGCTCCTCTCCTGCCCCAGGTGTGGCCCCTGAACTCACTGACCTTTCTCTAATGCACCTGCCTCAGCCCATGTTGGGAAGTCAACAAATGGTCATTTCCAAAGTGTCTCCAGGACCAGATCACACAGGCCACCTGATTTGTACGCAAAAGGAGTGTTTTAAAGGAGCAGGTGGCCCAGACCCTGTCAGAGGTGGTGCTAACCTCCTGACCGGCAGACCCTCCCAGGAGCCACTGGGGCAACACGCACTAACGCACTAACCAGCAGCACCAGCGAGATGAAGCAAACCTCCAACAGGATATAGCAGCATCTGCGAGGGCTCCGTGCAGGTGTGCGACACACAAGTGCATGCTTGCACATGCACACATGCTCATGCACACACTCATGCACTCACAGGCACACGTGCTCATGCACACACATCCACTCACACACATGCTTACACATGCCTGTGGACCAGGTCTGTGCTAAGGGCAGTCATGTAAGTGAGGGCTGGCGTACAAAGGAAAGTGAGCCGGTGGAAGGCTGCTCCTCGGTAGACCAAAGGAACGTGATCTGAAGTGTGAAGTTGTATGTTCTTACAATGGAAACCAAGGATGGGTCATTTCGTTCTGCCTTTTAAAGAAAAGAAGAAAAAGTGACTGTTTATTCTCAGAATGGGTCAGGGAAGATTCAGAATACCTTGTTTCTGTGACCTCTCCCCTCCGTCCCTGCATCTCCCAGTTGCAAGACCCCGTTGGCCCCAAGGCCCCCCTGCAGGCAAGGTGTGTGACAGGCCCTTTCTGCCTGTCCCCTGGAAATCAGGGCCTTGGGGCTGCAGGTGGACACGGCTACTTCCTCTCCACTCACAGTGCAGCATAAATCTCTGCAGCTCCAGCCTCTGAAGTTAATTCCTACATTTCTGGGCCCTCCCAACCCCAGAGCATAGGAAACCTCACGACAAAACCAGGCCAGGGAGGGCCCCACCCCAAGGCCCACAGCATTTGCTTCCATGGTAGCCACGAGGCGACACTCCATTTGCATAAACACAACCACAGCATGGCCCGTGACCTGGTGGGCCATGTGGTCCTGGAGCAGGTCCTTGGAAAAGCCCACAACCGCCTCAGGAAAATGCTTCCTGGAGCCTGGCTGCCACAGCCACCGTCTGCTCTGCGGCCCTTTCCTGGACGCGTGGCCTGGCCTAGCACAGGCGGTCGAAACATGGACCGGTGCTGCTGTGGCACACTTGCTGGTCACCACTGGGGCCAGGGAAGGACCCCAACGCTGGCTCAGGGCCAGCGCTCCCAGCTGACACTGCCCCTCTGAAGCGACTGTGTCTCTACCAGGCTCCTCGCACACCAACCTCCCCTCGCCACCTAGGGTGACCTCAACTCACAGATGGAGGTGACCTCTGCCGGCAGTTTCTTCCTGAGGTTCTGGGGGCTCGCAGCATGTGGCATTAGAACCTAGGAGACAAGGGAGCGCAGGCTCCGTCACTGCCAGGGCTAATCTTACTATTGTCTGGAAAGTTTCTAACTTAGGGATCCTAAGCTGCTTGGCTAGGCCACTTCACGGTGGGGAAACAGGACGAGGGACTGGGGCAAAGGCAGACAGGATGCCAGACCCCCACCCGTGCCTCCCTCTCCTCCACCAGTCTGGACCTTCGTGTGAGACCCAAAGGCAAGAGTGACCTGTGGGTTAGAATCAGAAGACAGCTGAACACGCAAAGTGCTTCCTGACAACAAGCCAATCGCAGCCCCAGTTCCAGCGCCTGCAGGGTTTTCACCAGTGGCCACAGAATGGGGCTTCTCCCCGGGCCTGGAGGCGCTGCCACGGAGCAACGCCCACCACCAGGGGCTGTGGGTCCCCTGGTCTGAGGCTGCTTTTCTCCTGCTCATTGAAGAGCTTAGTCCCCACTGTCCCAGACACTGGAATCCAGCAGAAGGTCAGCTACTACATCACGCTGTAGTACAGCGTACATGCTGGCGAGGGCAGAGGCACAGGGTCCCCATGCCACAACCCATAGAGATGTCACCTGGGCCTGCCATGGGTGTAAGCCCTTCTCAGCCCCTCCGTGCCCACTGGACCCTGGAGAGAGGCGCCCAACACCAGGACATGGTCTCCTGTCCCACAGATTGGCTTCAGGCAAGAACGGCCACCATACCAAGGTTCCAACCCCGACTGAGGGCATGACTGCCAAGAGCATGCTGGGAAAGTGGGGTCTAAGCAAAAGGAACAGTATGAGTGGCCTGCCACAGCACCCACAGTTAGCAGCTTTCTCCCATGGCACCCACCCCAGGACTGGAGCTCCCCTCCATCTACCCGTGAGGCAGGCCCCGGCCTGCGGAGCGCCAGCACCACCCACCTCAGGCTGGTGGAGGTAAGCTACTCGATAAGAAACTACTGGTCCACTTCTGAGGAAAATTTCAAAATGCTCTGCTGATCCTGATGGCAGCAGCTTCTCTTTGGGTTTTATGAATGAGACCCAGTGCACACAGCTGCTCTCCCTCGGTGGCCCTCCCTGTCCCAGTCCAGCGGGCTCCAGGGAGACCGCTGTGCCCTGGGCCCCAGCCCCTCACATGCTAGGTCCAGGAGCCTGGTCCCTGCATCCCCTGCCCATCCCCCAGCTTTGTCAGACACATACACACAGGCCAGGACGCACCTTTGTCCACTCCAAGTATAGCTCTGAGAACCTCCCCTCCCCTTTCTGTCAGAGGAGGAGGAGGAGGAAGGGGTAAAATTAAGTATTGAGGACTTAGGAGTCGCCCTTCTGTCCATTTAAAATCATCTGGTGAACGCTTCACTGCATCTGTGTGTGGCCTCTGAATACCCACGAGCCTGGCCTCCAACCTCACTGCACAAAACAGACACACGCGCATGTCCCTTCACCAGGTTCGGAATATCGTGAACACGTAGGCAGAGTGTGTGTCCGTGCTGCATGTTTTTAGGCAATGCCCGTCAGCTCCTACTAACCACGGTGAAGTACCAATTAGACGTCTATCTGTGAACAAAAGAAACTGCACAGCAGGTACCCCAGGAGGCAGGACGCGTCCTGAGGGGAGTCAGTGCCGATGGTGTCCGAACACCAGCAGGGAACAGTAGAAGGAGCGCGCTTGAAAACACTGATCATACCAGAATACTTATTTATTTCTATTTAACGCATCTAGGCGGTGGTCAGGAACAGAGTTAACTTTACCAAAACTGAAGTTCAAAATTACGTTAAGTTTAAAGTATTATAGCAAGATATATATTTATACTGGAGTATTTTTACACCTTTCATATTCTCGGGCTTGAGTTTTGAGACAGATGAGAACTGGAGCAGGTGCCAGTCCGCTGGGGAAAGGCCTGCAGAAGCGTTCTGCTGGGGTCGCTGGCTGCCCAGACGTGCTCCTGGGCTCCAAGTCCCAGGGGACGAGCCCCAGGAAGGCCACGGGGCCACCTGACCCTCTCAGTGGACAAAGCGGCTGTGACAGCAGGCAGAGGCTCACCTTCCTGACACCCTGAGCCAGTACAATCGCCTGTTTCTGGGAATCAAGTTTAGATGGCACAGGCCACGCCCTGCTCATGTGCTGTCCCTGGCTGCGCCTGCAGCGACCCTGGCGGTGGGGAGTTGACACACGCCATGGCCCCTGAAGCCTAAAATGTTCACCATCTGGCCCTCAAGGGCTCCCCTGGGGTCATTTCCCCCTGGGCACTCACACACAAGCTGGCTACTCCCCTGTCCTGCAGCATACGCCACACTGGGACACCCTGTTGTCACCTGTTCAATATAGTACGGGTTGACAATTTAGCTGTACTGTGAAATTATCAATAGGCTAGAATGTCCATAAAACAATGACCCTGAATAGTTTCCTCTCACTGATTTACCACTAAACGCTTTGCGAAATCTGGTGGTCCAGGGGCCTGGCCTTCATCCGTGGGCACGTGGGCGCGTGGCCAGGGTGGTGGTGCGCCGGGCCGTGGTCACTGTGCCGGAGATGCTTCGGTTAACTCTCTCTCCTCCTCTAGACTTTCAAAAACCAAACCAAGCCAAACAAAGGAAACCCACACAACTTAAAAGAAACTTGAAAGGGATCATATACTATTAGTTTGTACTAAGTTTTTTCAGGAAAGGGAAATAAATTTATATATACATGCAATATATTTTTACACCGTCTCATTCATGTTAGGGAGTGCTGAGCGTACCACTTTATCAGAGTGATGGGTACAGTGATGTCAATGTCATGGGTGTTCTGACTCGGAAAGTCTGAACTGCACTCAGCAGGGGCGTCCGCGGGGGCAGGGGGCCTGCTCTCCCTCCGGTGGAGTGCGAGGCTCAGAGTCACCTGTCAGGTCACTGTCAAGGCCTGGCCTATAAACCTTTAGTGAAACAGCTCATGTCTGTCTGCACATCGCTCCTCATGTGTTCGCTGTTATTAACATTGTGTGTCAAAGTGATAAATAAAGTGTTAAATGGCGGATCTCTGGAGAGTAAGCGCACTGTCTGGACTGGCAGTCCCATGGGCGGGGCCATGGAGCGGGGCAGCTCCACAGCTCCCAGGGCGGAGGGCCTCCAGGCCCCTGCTGAGAGCCTTTACTTCTTCACTTAGACTGGCAGTGGCCACCGACCCGACCCGACCCATGGAGAGGGGGTGCACCAACCTCCTGCTGTGTCGCGGGCCGGGTCTAGGTCTAGTGCAGCCCTGTGGGGGTCTAGGTCTGGGGGGACAAGACACAAACTACATTACAAACAACACAGCAGCCCCGGCAGGGATGTCGTCATCAAATGACGGCCTACCTGAAACCCTAGTCCAGAAAATGGTTTTCAAAAGTAAAATAGAGGCATTTTTAGACTGTCCCAGGGAAGCTCCCACCAGTGGACAAGAACAGGAATCCTTAATGCAGAAGGACAATGATTGCAGAGGGAATGTCTGAGCTGTGAGGAAAGAAAGTGAAGCAAAGAACAAGTAGTAAATAACTACCAATAACATAGGGACTATATAAATACTTTCTGTGCAGTTAACAATACTTCATAAAAATGACTGAAAAGCATCACATGTGGGCCGGAGGGGTGTAGGGGAAGTTACGAGCTCCCGGCTGCTGTACGATACCAGAGGGACGGAAGGGCTGAGTAAGTACACATTAACATGTAACAGCAATACCTCAGAAACACTGCACAGCTTCCAACCTAGGAGAGGTGAAATGCTAAATGATAAAGAATCTAAAACAGCAACAGTGGCCAGTGAAAAAATGACAAAAGAAATTGAACAGCACAAAATGATACAGCAGACTCCAACTAAAATACATCAATTCCATTAGAGGGTAAAGCAAGAGAAAGAAACACAGAATGGAAACATTGATAAAATACTGTTTTTAAGCCAAATGCATCATTAATTTCAGCGTGGCTAAAAACAGAAACAGAAAAGCAGAAAATGAAAAGAAAGAGAAGGAAACGAAGAACAAGGCTGGTTCTTTGACTGGACCGGCCAACTTGACAAACATCTGGTGGATTTTAACGAAGAGACTAAGTTCAAACCCAGTGAGAAGGACGACCGAGGGCAGGGGAGTCGGGCCCGAGAAGCAGGTGCTGAGCAGTCAGCGTGTTACTGGGAGGGCGCAGGAGAAGGGAGCCCTCCGGGCCACGAGGCAGACTTGAGAAAGTCTCGCCAGCCCAGCAGGGTCTCTAGAGATGGTCTGTTGGAGAGAATCCCCGTGGCAGGGAGGCCAGGCCGTGGTACCCCGCCTGCCGGGTCACAGGCTTGGGCCCACAGACGAAAGCCAAGGCAGAGCCCGAGGCCACGAGCAGCAGGTGGTCGTCTCTGACACGCACAGCAAGGTCCTACTTGAAGGGACACACCCGCTCCTGTGTTTCCACCACAGGGACACAGCCTCAAATGCCGAAGCTATTAAAATGCTGTTAAAAGACTGAGTGTTATGGCAAAAATTATGAAAATTAAGCAACTGAACAAATTCCTAGAGCTGCTAACTTATGAAAACTAACTCAAAAAGAAACAGAAAGCCTGCACAGTCCTATGATTTAAGGTAAGTAACTACCAACTGTAGTGGAAAACGCCCCACATCTCAGTGGCTGCTCACAACAAAAGTCATTTCTCACTCACAAGAAGTCCAACTGCTTTCAGGCAGAGGACTTCCTGTCCTTTTAGTCAACAGAAGAGAGGCAGGCTCCCTGACCTTGTGACAGAGCTCGCCAGGTCACTGAGGGGCGGGAGTGGCCCACCACACAACTACGTCCTGCTTACTGTGTGTCACATGCTGTCCTAGGGCCTTATTTGTAATAAATCATTTAACCTGTGCAACTCATACGGCAGCCACCAGCACTACTGCATTTTACAAATGAGGAAATCGAGGAACAGAGAATTTACACAATTGCCCAAAGTGAGACATTGAGTGGTGTACGTAGAAATAAAATCCTAAACAAAACATTAACAAACCATATACAATTATATATCTGTAAAGGAAAACCCGTCGTGACTAAACTGCTTATCTCGAGATTTAGGGTGATTTGTACATTAGCAAATTATTACAATTAACCACATTACCAAATAAGGAGAAAAATCATATGGTCACCTCAGTAAAATTTGCAGAAAAGTATCTGATACAATTCATCTATTCATGAAAAATTCTCAGCAAATCCATAATAGGAAGGAACCTCTTTAACCTGATAAAGGCCATCTACAAAAAAAAAACCTATCAAAGTTTAGTGGTGAAATGGTGAAAGCTCTCCTTTTGTTTATTATTTTAGAATAAGATAAAGGAGCCCATTTATTACCCTGTCTAATCAATATTGTACTAGAAACACTAGTCAGCACAGAAAAGCAAAAACCAAAAGAAAACAAAACGGAAAAAACAGAGTAACAACCCAGAGTAAAGGAATGGAAAAGAAAACCAGGAAACCTGTTACTCCTAGGAAACGTGACTACGCGTCTGCAAAAGCAAAAATAACTACAGGTGAATTATTAAAATTAAGAGTTTAACAAGATTGCTGAGCATAGAATATACAAAACTCAACTGCATTTCCATTTAATAGCAACAAGTAATTAGAAGAAGAAATCCAAACAAATTTTAAAAATATCTTTTAGAAATGTCATCACAAAATAAGAGGCACTTAGGAATAAATAAAACAAATGACTCATAAAACCCCTATAGAGAAAATGATAAAACTATAATGAATTCAATATTACCTGTATGTCAATCCTTTCCAGACCAAACAATGCAATCTCAAACAAGATCCCAACTTACCCAGCTAATTGCAAAATTTCTAAAATGCAAAGGGTCAAAAACTGCCCAAACGTCTTGTACTTCAGACAGGTCACAGCGTGCAAAATGTGGACGTGCACAGCGGTGACAGGTGGACAGGGAGGCCCATGGGGAGAGCAGAGGCTCAGACCAACACACCGTTTACGCCCAAGAAGTCTGGTCAACAACAGTGCTGGGTGATTGGACTCAGACATGAAAACAGTGAAACTGTCTTTAACCTTCACAACATGCACAAAAGCAGTTCCAGGTAGACAAAACTATAAAGTCTCTTGGAAGATAACACAGCAGAACAAACACAGAAAGACTTCTAAAAATTAGTAACTAAAATTACTGAAGCATAATAAAAAACACTGAAAAATCGGACCATATCAAACATTAGAATTCCTCTTCATCAAAAGACACCATTACAAAGTGAAAAGACAAGAACAAGCTATTAGCAAATGCAAACCACAAAGCATTACTGTCCAGGATTATAAATAATTCCTGCAGACAAATAGTAAACAGACGACCCAATAGGAAAACTGGGAAAAACCCGTCATGAAAAGGGAGTCCAGATGGCCGGTTAACACACCGACAGGCGCTCGGCTCCCTTGAGAACTGGGGAGCAGCAGATGAGAACCGCAGGGGGTACACAGCACACCTCTGCAGTGGGGATATTAAAGACTGGAAATATGTTGGTCTGAAAACATGGACCAACAGGGATCCTCCTAAACTACTAATAGGAGTATTGGTAGAACCACTGTGGAAACAATTTGAAATTATCGGCAGTAAAGCTATTAAGAGTATGGTTAAGGAGTTAAATGAAACATAAGCCTAGTGGGAAATAAAACCTTAAAAAAAAGAATTTTAGAACTAAAAAATATTCTTCCTGAAGTTAAAAATTCACTCTACAGGCTTAACAGCAGATGAGGCAGAAGCTCTGTGAGCTCTGCAATAGGGCAGCAGCACCCACTACAGCTAAAGAACCGAGAGAACACTGGGGGGAAAGACATGTTAGTGGCCTCAGGAGACGGGAGTGAGTGGCCTAACACGTGTGCAGCCAGAGTCCCGGGGGGAAAGACAGTGATCGGGTCAAATAAAAATCTGAAGAAATGGCAGCCAAAACTATTCCAGTTTTGATTAAAAAAATATAAACTCACAGGTCCAAGAAGTTCAATAAAATCCTAACAAGAGCATCATAAGTAACAGCATGGTGATTATTCTCTATAAACTTACTAAATCTTCTAAATAAGTTTTTTAAATGATCTGATGACAGAAATCCCACCTCCACACAAAAACTACACTTGGTATGACACATTTTCTGGCGACTTTACAGAAACCGGTGCTGTAGAACACGGCCGGGACCAGACCGGTGACTGGAAAGGACGCCCAGAGCCTCAAGACCCCCTTCCTCTCAGGGGGCACCCAATGCCCCACTGACACCCCAGGATAGGGTCCAGGCCCGCACAGCTACACACAGCATCTTCTCAGAGGCCGGTTCTTTTTCCTCAATCAATTGAACATTGTTCTAAAAAATTATTCTACCAAAGAAAGTGGGTGTTCCATAAGATGAAGTTTTCAAACTAAAAGAAAATCTAATTTTATACCCTGTTATAATGCAATTTTCAGAAATACACTGTAAGCAAAAGAGAGCCAGAGCTTGGGTAGATATTTCTACTGTAGGGTGTTAATATACAACAACATTTTTTGAAATGTTTCCCACACTATAAATGTTACTTTTATTAAATTTTGGAACTTACTTGTTTCTACTCACCAACCATGATGCATAGCTTGTTGCATGAAAGAATTCAATAATAATTTATAAAGAGCCACTTTTTAGAACAATGTATTCATTTATTAAATAAGAATTGTTTGTTACATAAGAAATTATTTTCTTTAATCACCATGCATGGTTCTTTTACATTAAGCAAAAAAATGGAATTTCCTTTATCTTAAGATATTTGATGAAAAATTAATCATCTGTCTTAAAATATGTCAACGTGTTTTGTCTCAAAACATGTGAACGGCTTGGATTAATCCTGTCTTTTTAGAATGTCTTAGAAAATCGAGCTGTGGGCCCTGACCACAGCTCAGAACTCACAAGGTAACTGCAAACAGAAGAGACAACTCTCATCAACAAGTACACCAGGTGAAGAACAAACATGTGCACGCCTCACAACTTGGAAGGTCAGGTTCAGGAGCAGCTCCCGAGGCGGGCGCTGCTGAGCGGGAACAGCGCCATGGTCTTCTTGAGCTCCTTGTAGCTCCAGTGCAGCTGCTCCACCTCGGCCCTGTGCTGAGCCCGCTCCTGGCCCAGCTCCTGCAGGAGGTGCTCGTTGGTGCTGACCAGGGAACTGGGGGGAACACAGGGCAGTCATGTCCCGGCGCTGCTGCTGTCTTCTCCAGCAGCATCCTCCCTCGCCGGGCCAAGCCTGCCTGTTGACCCCACACGTTCCAGCCGTGCCCGGACCTGCACACCTGCCCCCTCCCGCTCCCTCCTGGCGGCTGCCATCTGCCCCTTGCCTACAGACTGGGTGGGGCTGTGTCTGACTCAACCCCTCAGCCGTCATGCCATCCTGCAGGCACTGCCTAGCGCCAGTGAGACAGATCCATGACTCAGCATGAAGAGCTGGGTCCCTCCATGCTCCAGCCACGCAGGGTTTACTGAGAAGGCCGTCACAGTCTATGACTGGCAAACAATGTTCTAACTCTAGAAAAGACCCAAACACTGATTTTTAACTCCCAGTCAAATATAAAGGACCTTCTTAAAAGTCCTGACATTGTAACAGTACAACTGAAAAGTACGGATTTTTAACATTATTAACTATTTTTAATTATAGAGGGGATTTCAGAAAGAAAATGGTGTTATATTTTGCCAAATTGCCCTGCTCACCCAGTCAGCAACAACTCAAGCACATTTGTGTCATCTTAAGAAATGGGCAAAAGGAGGGCCATTTTCTCCACAAAGGTCCCCCCACTGCAAACGACAGGGTGCAGGTGGCAGCCCCATTTACCTGGACCACTGAAACAGCCCCTGACCAGGCGGAGGCTCAGAGTAGACAAGTCTGTGTGAACCCCACTGTGCTGCACTTAGGGGCTCTGCACCCCCACCTTGTCCCCGCTAACCCCATGGAGCTAACACCTCGTGACCTGCCATAGACGGGCCTGTCGGGCTCCGGGGGGTGCGCGCCTGCCACTTCCCTGCACTGTGCCTGTGTCTCGTTTCCCTTCCTGCTGCTCTCCGTCTGCTCTCAGCTCAGTCCCACCTCTCAGGGGCCATCGGCCCACAACATCACTCACTGTCCCGCACGTGCCCCTCATCTCTCAGCACACCTCACAGAATACTGCCCCAGAAAGGGAATCGCGTTCTGTTAAGAAAGGGAAGCTCACAGAAGTGCCACGGCAGCCCAGCGACACACTGGGGCCCAGAACGCCAAACACCAGCAGCTGTTGCTCCTGCACTCCCCCCACACGCCTCGCCCCTCCCCACCCAGTGTGGCACCTGTGGCTCTCCTGCAGCATCTGCGTGAGCTCCTGGACCTTGTCGTAGTGCTCCAGGTGCTGCTTCAACTCCACGATCTCACCAGATAGCCTCTTCACGTTGGTCTGAAGCCCTGAAAAAGAAAATAAGAAGCATTATTTAGTGAAATTCATTTATACATTTGGAAAACTAAAACGATTCTTGAGTTTAAACTTGACCCAGGACACAAGAGAAAGAATATTCATGTAGCTCAGCAAGGGTCAATTTTTGTAAGCAACTCAAAGACAGGGGTGAACAAAAAAGGCCCCACTCTACACGTCTGAGCGTTTCTCCCCCAGGGCCCAGTCTGGCTCCCTCCTTGGGGCTGAAGCTTAGGCGCTCTGCCTTGTGGCTATCCTCACAGAGCCACACCCCTGTGTGGGGGGCAGGGGAGTGACAGAGGTGGGCCTGGTACCAGGTGGGTGACCCCTCCTTTGGGGCTGCGTGCTGGCAGGAGAGGCCTGAGGGCATCTCCTCCACAGAGCAGCGATGGATCTCTGCCCAGGGGAGAGCCTGCCGCTTTGGGAAGTGACTGGAAGTGGCTGGAAGCCCACAGTGGCCACAGGTCTCTGAGGTGCCCGCTGGTCCCATATCCATCTGTGACAGAGGTTGTGTCTACATTCCGTCTATATGACTGTTGCCTCTCTCTGGGTTTTCTTCTCAAGGGACGGGGAGGAAGGGTCAAGAAATATACATTTATTGGCTCCAAAACCAGGATGTAAATAACTCCCCATGTAGACACGCCACTGCAAAGCCATACATACAATGCCAGAGACAAGGGGAAAGCCAGTGCGGGAAGGTGATGGGCAGAGGGACGCTGACGCTGACAGCGGGGCCCCTCTCACAACCACTGCCCCAGGGGGGAAGGGGCCTCCTTCTGCACTCAGACAGGAAACCCTACCCAGAACCTGCCGAGCTTCCCGGAAGAGGGCAGTGGTGGCACGGGTCAGCGTGAACCCCACAGTGGTCAACACCGACAGGAGCTAGGTGACAAGACCAGAACCCCACAGACCACATTGTAGCACCTGGTGAAAAGGGAGTCTCGAGACCCCAAAAATGAAACAGCCCCAGTCCTGCAAGGTATCCTTGCGTGCAGGTGCCCCACGCAGTGGCGTGGGGCGGCGGCGGGGGGGGTGGGGGGTGGGGGGTGCGGCAGCTGATGGACCTGAGGGCGGGGTCACCCCCAAGGGACCCGTTTCCATGGGAAACCCTTGCAGGCCAACCAGGGGATCAGGACTGGCCTGAGGCAGGTTCAGCATCCTCTAATGAGGTGAACCCGGGGAGTCCTTTGTGGTCTGAAGGGGCTGGAGCAACCCCTGACCCATTGAGGCAGACCGCCTGGTCCCTTCTAGAACAGCTGGTGAGGGGCCCAGCTTGAACTGGGGAGGGGACAGGGCCAAAGGAGACCATCGTATTTATTGGTGGAGTTAGAGAACCTGCTCCTTCTAGAAATTCAGGAGAACAAATTCCACATCAAAGGAACAGCAGGGACGTACCGAGGGCGAACCGCACACGAGTCACTGCTCGAGCACAGCAGCAGCCCTTCGGACGACGAAAGCCGCGCCCAGAGCAGACCCAACCACAATGGCTTCAGAATGCACCGAAGCCAGAACCAGAGAGTGCCAGCAAGAAGACGGCTGAACTCAGGCAAGAGCGCACAATGAAAGCTGAACTGGAAGGAACTCAAGAGCAGTGAACGTGAAAAATGACATCTCAAAAAGAAAAAAATAAGCAAAAACCGAAACAAACAAAAAACCCCAGAAGGTAAAAAGGGAAAAGTTTAAATTAAAAGTTAAAGAAAAGATCATAAACAGCTCTTACACTCAATAAACTAGCCCAGTAAAGACACTCACTGGGCAGGGACAGACCGAGGCAATTCTCCGGGGCTGCGCTCACGTGGCAGAGGCCACAGTGAGTCCTCGGGGCAGAGGCCACAGGCCATGAAACATTTATGAAATGAAACCCTGCAAGAGACCCCACTTCTCCAGAGCTGGTTTCCATGGAAAACAGACACCACGGACACCTCATTCTACAGCCCAGGGCCTGCACCTGAAATACCAAGAGCGTACATTTGTAAAATGACAAAACACAGGGTCTGGTGTGCGAATGTTTCGCACGAGATGCACAGCAATTCGAACATTTCACCTAAAATGTCACATGGTGTGACTGAGTGTGATAGTGTTATGTTACAGAAGCATGTGCTTATGCTTGTAATAAAAAAAGGGGGGGGGCATGTGTTATTTGTGCCGGACCCCGTGGTATCCAAGAGAAGAGAGGGACAGACTGTGATCCAGGTCCGGAAGGTGCAGTGCTCGAGGAGGAGGAGGAGCAGGACCGCTGCGCTTGCTGGGGACAGCCGAGGCCAGGCAGAAGGACAACTGCCCCGCGCACATCAAGGGCAGACGGGCTGGCACCACAGTCCCCGGCGCCGCAGGCCTGGGGTGATCCCCGAGCTCCCAAGTAGTCAAGGAATGGGGCGGCGAGGATGCAATGGGGACCTCGATGGAGGCGCCTCTGCCTCAGGCACAGCTCTCCTTCCCTTCCACACACACCCGAGCGTGCCACGGGCAAGTGTGCACGCCACTCGTGGGCCAAGACAACTTAGAGTGACAAGGATGCAAGCTTCGACACCCCTTCTACAGTGTTTGCTGGTTCTGAATTCTGTGCATGATTTAAAATGCCGTCTCCGTGACTGTGAGCACTCCTATTTCCCCAAGTAGTGGCACCAAACAAACCACAAACTCACCACCGATCTGCAAGTTTAACGCAGCTGAAGCCTCTGCATTTTTTACTTCTTTCTTCATGCTGGACAAAAGAGCCTTTAAGCTACTATTCTCTCCCAGAGATGTGTCTAAATGTTGTCTCAAGTCATCCTAAGGACACGGAACAATACACTTAAAAAGGACAAATCAAATTCAGCAAAATGCAGACAGAAAATTAAATGAAACCCTCTGAAATGACAATAGCTATTATTTTTCTTTTATATATCAGAACTGCTGAATCTCCATGTGAAAAGCAGTCCAGTCATATGTGGCTTAATGACGAAGACACGTTCTGAGAAATACACCGTTGGGCAATCGTGTTCTTCTGCGAGCACCTTGGAGGCAGGTACACAGACCTGGATGGCACAGCTCACAGCACACCTAGGCTGTGTGGGGTCACCCGTTGCTCCCTGGCTACCCACCCGTGCTGCATGTTCCTGTATTGAGTAATGCAGGCAGCCGTAACACTTGGTAAGTATTTGCATATCTAAATACACCAAAACACAGGAGAAGTCTGGTACAAATGCAATATAAGAGATAAAAATAAATGGTACGTGTGTGTACCAATGCAGCGATAAGTAACTAATACAGAAAGGTTAAGTAACTCACTCAAACTGACCTGGCTGGTATCTTCACAGCCTACCCTATGGCATGACATAACCCATTAGCAGTGACTTTTTAAAGAGAGGGAACCCTCAGTAGTTTCCGTACAATACAATGCAACCCCAGTGACTAGTGAGGTAACACTGAATGCACAATAGTCTTTTTTTAAGTAAAAATTTGTATACATTTAATGACTTGATATACACATACTGAAGTCATTGCCATGGTCAAGGGGGCTAACGTATATTCTGCTACTAGTTTTTGTAATGAGTGACCCTGAAATCTAGTCTTTTAGCAAACTTCCTAATTTAATACAGTATTATCACCTGGAGTTATCCAACTGTCCCTCAGCCCTCTAGACTTGTTCACCCTACACAAAGCAGCTCTGCACCCTGACCAGCATCACCCTATTTCCCCTACTCCCCACCTCTGACAACCCCTTTCTACCCTTTTCTTCTACTCGTTTTTTTAATATTTTATTGATTATGCAATTACAGTTGTCCCATTTTCCCCCCTTCACTCCCCTCCACCCTGCACACCCCCTCCCACCCACATTCCCCCCCTTTAGTTCATGTCCATGTGTCATAAGTTCTTTAGCTTCTACATTTCTCATACTATCCTTACCCTCTCCTTGTCTATTTTCTACCTACCATCTATGCTACTTATTCTCTGTACCTTCTCCCCCTCCCACTCCCCTCTTCATAACCCTCCATGTGATCTCCATTTCTGTGGCTCTGTTCCTGTTCTAGTTGTTTGCTTAGTTTGTTTTGCTTTTTGTTTTAGGTGTGGTTGTTAATTATTGTGAATTTGCTGTCATTTTACTGTACATGTTTTTTATCTTCTTTTTCCTAGATAAGTCCCTTTAACATTTCATATCGTAAGGGCTTGGTGATGATGAACTCCTTAACTTGACCTTATCTGAGAAGCACTTTATCTGCCCTTGCATTTCTAAATGAAAGCTTTGCTGGATAGAGCAATCTTGGATGTAGGTCCTTGCCTTTCATGACTTGAAATACTTCTTTACAGCCCCTTCTTGCCTGTAAGGTCTCTTTTGAGAAATCAGCTGATAGTCTGATGGGAATTCCTTTGTAGGTAACTGTCTCCTTTTGTCTTGCTGCTTTTAAGATTCTCTCCTTATCTTTAATCTTGGGCAATATAATTACGATGTGCCTTGGTGTGTTCCTCCTTGGGTCCAACTTCTTTGGGACTCCCTGAGCTTCCTGGACTTCCTGGAAGTCTATTTACTTTGACAGATTGGGGAAGTTCTCCTTTATTATTTGTTCAAATAACTTTTCCACTTGTTGCTCTTCTTCTTCTCCTTCTGATACCCCTATGATTTGGATGTTGGAACGTTTAAAGGTGCCCTGGAGGTTCCTAAGCCTCTCCTCATTTTTTTGAATTCTTAGTTCTTCATTCTTTTCTATTTGGTTGTTTCTTTCTTCCTCCTGGTCCACTCCACCCCAGTTTCCTTCCCATCGCTATTGGTCTCCTGTACATTTTCCTTTATTTCACTTAGTGTAACCTTCATTTTTTCATCTAATTTGCGACCAAATTCAACCAATTCTGTGAGCATCCTGATTACCAGTGCTTTGAACTGTGCATCTGATAGGCTGGCTCTCTCTTTGTCGCTTAGTTATATTTTTTCTGGAACTTTGATCTATTATTTCATTTGGGCCATTTTTTTGTCTTGATGCACCTGTTACGTATGAGGGGCGGAGCCTTAGGTGTTCATCAGGGTGAGGCAACTCACGTTGCTGTGTTGTGCTGTTGTTTGTAGGGGAGAGGTCCAAGAAGGAACAATGGTGCTTGCTCTGCTCTCTGTGAGATTTCAGTCACTTCCGCTGCTTCCTGCAAGCAAACTGGGCCCTTCTGGTGCTGATTCCCAGTGGGTGGTTTGTGTATGTCCTGGGACCCTGTGGGTCTCTCCAACAAACTCCCCTGTGAGGCTGGGAGTCTCTCCTGGCACCTCAACCCCCACAGGTGTTTTCAATCGGTGTTTGAGGCTTTATTTCCCTGCTCTGGGACCCTGGGTTGCAAGGTATGTCTCAATCCTCGGTTTTGCCTGGTTTATCTGTGAGTGAATGTGGGACCACCCGGCCTGCCAGCCGCCTTGTGGGCTGCGCCCATCCAGGATTGGCCGCCTCCCTGGGTCCACCAGCCACCCTGTTGTGAACCCTCTCGGTCCCCGCAACCTGACTCCGCGCCGCCTACTGGTTGGGATGAATGTTTCTACTTTAACTCCTTGGTTGTCGGACTTCCATACAGTTCGATTTTCTGTCAGTTCTGGTTGTTTCTAAACTGTTGTTGTCCTTATTTTGGTTGTGCGAGGGGGCACAGTGTGTCCGCCTATGCCTCCATCTTGGCTGGAAGCCTCCCTTCTACTTAGGGTTTTGATATTCCATGTGTAAGAGATCATGCAGTTTGTTCTGCCTGACTCACTTCACTCAACTTAAAGGTCCATTCATGTTGTTGCACAAGGAGAAGGATTTCCTTCTTTTCAAGGCTGAATAATATTCCTTTGTAAACACATGTTCTCTGTCCACCAGCGGATGGACACAGGCTGCTTCCACATCTGGCTACCATGAGGAACGCTGCAGTGAAAACGTGGGTGCAGACACCTCTTTGCCATACTGATTTTATTTCTGACGGGGATCTACCCAACAGTGGGATTGCTTGATTGTATAGCAGCTCTATTTTTAATTTTTTGCGGAAACTCCATATTGTTTTCCACAGTGGCTGCATCAATTTACACTCCACCAACAGTGCACCAGTTCCCTTTTCTCCACATCCTCATCGGCACTTGTTACTTATTGGTGACAGCTGTTCCAACAGGTGTGAGGCAATAGCTCATTGTGGTTTTGATTTGCATTTCTCCGATGCTCAGTGATGCTGAGCACCTTTCCATGTACCTGCTGACCATTTGTATGTCCTCTTTAGAAAAATGTCTATTTTTTTCAATGAGGCTCTTTCCTTTTTTTTTTTTTTTTGGTGTGAAGCTGTATGAGTTCTTTCTGTATTCTGGATATTAACCCCTTATCAGATACATGGTTCACAAATATTTTCTCCTATTCTGCGGGCTTCCTTTTCATGCCGCTGACTGTTCCTTTCCCGTGCAGGAGCATTTCAGTTTGCTGTAGTCCGGCTAGTTTATTTTTGCCTCCGTTGCCCACGATTTTGGTGTCATATCCAAAAAATCATTTCTGAGGCCATGCAGGAGTGGGAACCTTCGTCTTGCTTAACCTCCGAGGAAAAGCCTTTAGTGACCATGTTGGCTGTGGCTACATAAATGGCCTTCATATGGTGAGGAAATTTCCTTTCATATCTATTTTATTGAGAGTTTTTTTTAATGAATGAACATTGAACTTTGTCAAATGGTTTCTCTATAACTATTGAGACAAACTGTGTGGTTTTTATCTTTCAATTTATTAATGTGGTATATTAATATGCATATGTTGAACCAGCCTTGAATTCCAGGAGAAAAATCCCACTTGATCATGGTGTATAATCTTCTTGATGTAATGTTAAATTTTTCTGGGAGCTTTTTGATTACTGCTCAATCTCCTTATTTACAGTTATTGGTCTGTTCAGGTTTTATTTCTTCTTGATACAATCTTGGTAGGTTGCATGTTTCTAGGAATTTATCCTTTTCTTCTAGGTTGCCCAATAAGTTCACATACAATCATTCTTATTAGTCCTTTATGATTTTTTTTTAAATTTCTGAGGCATCCATTGTAATGTCTCCCCTTTCATTTCTGATTTTGAGTCTTTTTTTCTTAGTCTAGCTAATGGTTTGTTGATTCTGTATAGTTTTTTTTAAAAAAACCCAACTCAGTTTTGTGGATTTTTTTCTATTGTTTTTCTATCTCCCTTTACTTCTGCTCTGACCTTTAGTATTTTCTTCCTTCTGTCAACTTTGGCTTTAGTTTATTGTTCTTTTTCTAGTTCCTTGAGGTGTAAATTTAAGTTGTTAATTTGAGATCTTTCTTTTTTTTAATGCAGACATTTACGTGTGATACATGGTCTTATGTTGAGGTTACAAAGGACCAGGGTGGCCCTGCCACCCAGGAGTCTTCGGCTCAGAAGCTGGGCCCAGCTGTGCTGGCTCTGACTGCCCTTGGGTGCCACCTGGTGGTGGAAATTCCCTTAGGTGCAATTGGGACCTCAAGTCCTGTAGCTGGCTGGTGCAGGCAGGACAGGGGCAGGAACCCCAGGTTCACCCAGCCAACTGGAACCTTTCTTACTAGTGGTCTGGGGAGCCTAAGCCAGGGAACATGGGGCCATAACAGCTCCACCTCAAGCCTGGCTTCATCTTCTCTGTCTCTCCCACTCACCCTCTTTCAGAGAAGGCAGCTGCTCAGGAGAGGCAGAGCTGGGAGAAGTGGCGATGCCTCCAGCTTTTGCTGTGGGGTCTGGGAGTGACACAGAGTCAGGCTAGCATCCCCACAGGTGGGGGAAGCCCGGTGGGGAGGTCTGTGATCCTGGAAAGGCCGGAGAGGAGCCCCAGTGCTGCAGACCGACAGCAGCTAAAGGGAAGTGCAGAGTCGAGAGTCTCCCCTCATTCTGTGAGGTGAAAGCAGTGTTTTCACCCGACTGAACAAAAGGAAACAGAAGGGGCGTGGCTCACCATCTCCTTCCGAGTGTTGTTGAGCTCTGACACCACTTCACTAATCTTCTCGCTGTACTGCTGCTGTTGTTCGAGAAGGTGCTTTTGCAAAGATTTATTTTCTAGAGTCAGGTAGTTAATTTCTTCACTCAAAATTGTTGAACTGTCCTGAGTTGCTGTAAAGTCTTGAACAGATGACAAAACATGTCTTGCTTGAGCTAGGAGTACAAATCAAGGATTATTACTACATTTGTACTAAAAGGATAAAGTGTAAACAAAATAATATTCCACACATCTTGAATAACACACACCACATGCACAGGCATGGAGACTGGCAAAGGGACGTGACCATCATTGAAATGACCTTTGCCCCAGGTCTTTTACATTCCGTCAAGGATGGGAGGCAGAGAAGAGCAGAAAAGTTTTATCCTAGAGAAAAGGTATCCCTTAGGAGGAGGCTAAGGGAGGCCCCTAGGTGGTTTGGCTGCGCGCCCTAGCTGCACAGCATACTCTACAATAGCCCCGACTGCTCCTGTGCTGGCCTGGGACCGCCACGCTGGCACCACCTGGCACCTTCCCAACTGGGAATAGCAGCCGAGTAGCCTGTTGCTACCCTATCAGGACAGGGTAGACTAATGGGGATGCTGATCTAGGGGCTCCAGCATCTTGGAACGCCCTGATTGCAGGAAGAAAAGCTGAGGGGCCATAAGACTGAGCAGCTGAAGTGTGCAAGAGCCTCTGGCAGCAGCCAAGCTGGCAGGTCCAGGTAGGACCCAGGCTCTGTCAGGAAGGAGAGGGCTAGCAAGTCCCTGCTCCTGTCGGGACACTAAACGCTGCAGCCCAGACTTTCCCTGCACCCAAGGGGAAAGAGGTGGCCCCCCGATCATGCAGCATCCTGTTTCACACCGTGACTCTGGGTGAAGGGGTCCCCAGTGTGCTCCTGCACCATCGCCAGGTGGAAGCAAACCAAAGTCCTCTCAGGAGAGGCCATGCCCCCAGACCTCAGCCATTTCCATCAAAACCTTGACAAATCCTGGGTCCTGCATGCAATCACTCTCTCAAAAGATTCAGAGAAGACAGCAACAATTTTTAATCTCTCCAAATCCTCATGTGAAAACAAAGCGATGAGAACCAAATAACTGTGTATGGCACTGCCAACAAAACCAGGCAGCAAGGCGTCTCCCCGAACCCAAGCCAGCAGCTGGAAAAACCAGAAGCCACACCTCAGGGGAGCCCCCGGCTGCTGTGAGGAACACTGTCAGGACACTCCCTGCAGCGCAGCAGCCAATGGCAGCTGACAGGGAAGGTCCAGCAAGGCGCGGGGCCTGGAACCCAAGGGGAGAACAAATACCGACTAGCACAATGCTGCCTGAAGGCTGGGCCCGCACGTGGCCGAGTCACGAGCTACCTGTCCTTTCCTGACTCACCCAGGAACATCTCGTTGCTATGCAGGGACTTGCAGCCATGCCAGTACCTGTCTACCAGGTCGAGGAGGGCATCCAGGAACGTCACCTCCAGGGTGGCCTTCTTCCCAGGTGGCACAGCTGAGTGCAATTTGGGAGACACCTGCAGTGGCGACAAAACCATGACACTGGCTTCCAGTCCCTGAAACACAAGGCACTCATGTGGCTACCAGGCACACTCATGTGGCCACCAGGCACCGTGCTGACATCCGTGTCCCATGGACTCTGCCTGATGGGGCTATTCGCAAACCCACAGGGGATGACTCATGGGGTTCACCTCCCCACCCCCAGATGAGTGACCACGGTGGATCGGAAGACCTCGGTGCCCCGAGTACCCACAACAGTGGGTTGGGGCTGCCACCTCACAGCAGGAGGAAAGGCTGAGGGGGGTGCAAGCAGCCTACACTACACGGTGTCACACCACGTGTTGGCACTGCCACACCGCCATCAAACCCACAATCACAGTTTTAGGGCCACGGTTGTGGGAACGCCCACAGGGGTGGCTGTTTCGGGTCTTCATGACAGGTCCACAGTAACCCTGGAGGGGACACCCCTCAGAGCCAGTCCCGGCCTGCACAGTCACTGGTGACCGGAAGGCCCTGAATGCAATTACGTCACATGTGCAGAAGAGGCCACCATGGCTGCACACAGGCCGCCTGGGCTGCACCCAGTGCTCACATGGCCCCGACACAGTCAGCTGTCACTGGCACTCACTGCGATGCTCTCTCCTTTCCTCCCTTTAGAAAAACTATTTTACCAATTTAAAAGAATTACTGAAGAACGGGGGAATGGCTTGTGGTTTCCCACTCGCTTTCCCAGCGTTTGGGGTAAACTTACTGTGAGTGAGGGTCTGTGGAGGGAGGCAGGGAGTAAAGGCTTACATCTGTTGCACAGGCCATGACCAGAGCTGGGGACACAGGACTGGTCCAGGTCTGCAGGAAGCAGTTCCAGGCAGGTCAGCGAGAGCCCCACCTTCACAGTCAGCGTTCTTCACTGTTACTTAACAGACAGAGGGACTTTCTACTAAAGAACTCTGGAACAGCCAGTGAGACCCTGAGTGACAGGAGGCCCTGGGCCAGGGCAGGGAACGCCGCTTCAGCTGGGATGCCCCTCACCTCCCACCACCACCGCCTATGTCATGCGAGCCCCTGAGCACCAGGGAGCACGATGGTGGGTGTACCCTCGGTCCCCAGGGGCAAGCCCACCAAGGGAGCACTGCTCTGCCCAGGTTCACATCAGGGGTGGGCAGCCCATATCCTGTACCCAGGCTCACAGTAACACTGAGGCCTGGCTGCTGGCCCCCCAAACTGAGGCTGAGACCATCCCAGTGAGTGTTTGGCACAAACACCTCCATCAGAGGCTAAATCTGGACAATTGGCCAGGTGACAGGCATGGGTGACAGAGCCACGGTCCTTAGGGTGGACCCAGTGCAGTCACTCAAATTTCCATCTTCCACCTGAGAAGCATGGGTAGTGTCCTCTCCAAGAGGACGGCCACCATGAGGCCACAGCCCTGAGCCGAGGGGAGGAGGAGCCATGGGCAGCTCCACCCCACCCCGCAGAGTCCCAGGCCCACAAGTGCACACGTCCACTGGGCTCGGCTCCACAGACAGGAAAGGCCTGCGCACATTCCCGTCTCAAGCACATTCCCACTTTCCCTCCTCCCTCAACCTGCACAGTGAGAGTGGGAGATGGAATGAAGAACGGACGACAGCCAGGGCCCCTGTAAAAGCAGACTCTGACCCAGGACCCGCAGCGACCAGCTGGGAGCCCACCTGCCATGTCTGAGTCCCAATGCGTGGAAGCACACTTCACAAAACAGGGAGGGCACAAACACCAAGGGAATGTGCATGTAAGGGCTGTATCTGTCTTGTGGTCACGGTTGATGTTGAAAACAGAAGACATGGCGTTACCAAACAGCAGCGACTCAGCTGTGGCATCAGCCACCCTGCGCTCTCCACTCACCTCCCTGGCGCCACCCGTGCTGTGGGGCCTCTGCTCTTCAGGCTCAGACGCCTCCACGTGGGAAAAGGTCCTCTCGCTCCTGCCCTCAGAGCTGTTCTGTCTGCTCAGACTGTCCTCCAGGCAGCTGAGACACTCCTGGTCTGCAGGCCCCTGGAATCTCCCACCAGGCATTCTTCGCTTTCTGTACTTTTCGGGAGCAGGCAGAGGATTTAACACCTTTTGTGTTGACAAACTTGACTTCTGAGAAGAAGACACTGAGTCCTCAGCGTCTGTGGAGTCTGTGACAGAGGGGAGAACACAGCCCTTGTTAGACCGAGTTCTCTGGGCACAGTGACCAGTGCTGTTACTTAAAAGGGGTGTGTATGTGCACACCTATGTATGCGTGTGTAACACGTGGAAAATCCATCCGAGTGACAGGACTGAGGAAATAACTTCCTCAAATGAATCAACTAATTATTATGTTTTCTTGCCAAAATTATGCATAGCAAAGATGAGTCAAGTGAGTAAAAACTTAAAATTCAGGAATTAGAGAGGACTCAACCATTTGTTCCCATAGGAGAGTCCATTAATGTCATCAGTACCTGGAACCACCCTCCCTCCCCCAGGGCACACATCTGCTGAGCAGCTTCCCCAGCGGTGTTGCAGCACCTGGGCGCTTTGGGCCCTACTCATGTGGACCAGGGCCCTTGGAAGGCAGGCTGTTCCTGGGCCCCCAGGGCCTGTATCTCCCTGCTGTTTTCTTGAAGCTCCTCAGGCCTGAGTCCTGGGACCCTCCTCTACCTGAACTCTCAACACCCTGCCTGGTTTCCCATGCCCCAGGCTGATGGGCCTCCTGGGGCTGCCCTCCCACCCAGGCCTCTCTGGATCTCCTCTGCATTCCCACACTGCATCGACATCTACATGCCCCCCAGGCTCACTATGAGCAGAGCCAAGCCCGGGACTCCCCAGCAGAGCCGGGACTCCCCAGCAGACCCAGGCATCCTGTGCTCATGACCGGAGTGAACAATGCCAGGCACCTGGCTGCTCGGATCAGAGAGCACCTAGATGTGCTCCTCCCTCCCTCAGCTCTGTGTTCATCATCAAACTTCCCCAAGTCCTTCTGCCTCCGAGTGGAACCCTCACTGGGTCCACAGATGAACCGTTCCATCTGCTCTCCCCAACCCCATAGGTCACTGCATGCCACCCACCCCTGCCCCTGTCCCTGGGGACAGACACAGACCATGCACTGCCGCACCACCTCACCTCGACCTGTGACCTGTGTTCTTCTTTCTCCCTACTCTGGCCCCAAAGCCCAGTATGAGCCCACCCCCCAAAACGCTTGGCTGAGTCTGGCCATCAGGGACCAGCAGAGCAAGCCACACTGGGAGTCACCCCACAATAGTAGAGTCTGAAAGCTTTAAAACCCTCAAGCACACAGAAGACAGAAAGATCAACAAATCATTCCAGGTCACAGGAGTCTAATGAGCCACGACAGTTAGACATGCTGTGGGCATCTAGACAGGGTCCTGGACCGCAAAGGAAACAATGTTGCTGGAACATCTGGTGACATGATTAGGCTCCATCTGTGGCAGAGTTCATTTCCTATTCTGGAGGGGAAAATGCTGTTCAGGAGAATGTCCTTGCTTAGAGAACCATGCTGGAATGCTTAGGAGTGCCAGAACACCCCACTCCGAGGTGCCAAAGAGAGTATATGCACACACACATATGGACACACACACATGCACATATATAAACACAAAAGCAGACACACATACATGTGTATACCCATCTACATATCCCCACATAAAGACTCATGCATGCACATGGGGCGGGGGCAAGGGTACAATGGAGCAAATGCGGTTGGTGCCAACAGGGGGGGCTGGATGAAGCAGATATGAGACCTCCTTGTTCTGCTGGCGCTGCCTTTCCGTGTTCGCTCTGTCTGGGAATTCACGGGGACTACAGGTCAAGAAGGAGGTCTAAACACCGGCACAGGCACCTTTGTGAACAGAAGTGAAGTGATGACTTCTGACAGTCGGCGGGTGGGAACAGGGGTCCTGCGCACCCACGCCCACAGCGTCATTATGATGTCTCAGGACACAGGGTAGGTGCAACCAGGCCGGTCAAAGCAGAGGACGTAGCAGGGAGTGTGTGACCTGGTCTCAGCGCCGCACCCTGCAGCAGCCTGCAGCCTGCAACCTGGGCAGGTCAACGCCACAGCCCACCCGAACCCCAGAGACCCCACAAACTCACCTGAATAAGCCCCATGAGGGGGCCAGGCTCACTCACGTGGGAGCTCTTCCGACACTTCTGTCCCACATGCGCACACAGCACTTTGGTTAACTTACTAAATATCCTCATCTCTAAGTTTTAAAATACAGCTATTGCCATAACCTGGGCCCATGTATTTACAAGAAAATGTATGTGTGTGAGTGAGAGAGGGGGAGAGGGAGAGGGAGAAAAAATTCTATGTACATGTGTGTGTAGAGAAAAACTGCAAAGTACTCATAGACCAGGAATCAAAATATGGACATATTCTAAATCCCAGTGCACAAGGTTCTGTCCTACGGCATTTTAGAGAGTTCCGTAAACAAAGAGAAGAGGAGAAATTTCACAGTGAACGGCAAACAGGATGAAAATATTTACATGCTTATGAAGGAGTCGGGGCAGTCGTGCGAGAGATCGGGGAAGTCATGCGAGAGTACCTGGGTGCAGCGGGAAGTGCGGGTGCGGCCTGAAGGGGCGGCAGGCCTCCGGGGGGTCTCCGGGCGGCGGCGGGAGCTCCCCGCAGTGCTGGTTCTGAAGCCTCTTTTCTGGACAGCACCCTCTGGGGCCGCCTTTCCTCTTCTCATAGCCCTTCTTTATGGAGTCCCCACACTGGTGCTGCACCGAGTGAGGGCTCCACAGGTGTCTGGATTCTGTTTTATTAAAGAGCATGTAAAATGTTTTAGTTCACTAACAGTTACATTTTAAGTGTGTCTGACAGTGTATTATCATCTGTTAAGTATATGGATTAAATAAGTAGGTCAATAATGCAATCACCAAATGCGTGGTGAGTCCAGCAGTCCTGCCAGTGAGGCTCCTGGCACAGGCCTGACACCGGCCGACTCACCACTCACTACACAGCTGAGGACTCGGGACAGTGTGGTGTCAGTGCAAAGTCAGACCTGGTGACAGACAAGACAGAGTCCAGAAACCACAGAGGCTCGAGTCAACTGAATTAACCAACTCCCTAAGGTTACTAAGGGAGAAAAAAAGACAGTGTTTTCAACCATGGCACTAGCACAACTGGGTATACGGTGGCGGGGGAAGGGGACAGCCTGACCCATCTCCCACCCGCTCACGAACCACTCTGAGAGTGGGCCGCAGACCTCAACACTGGCCCACAGGGTGTCTGCGCTCCCACAGGGAAAATCCGCACCAGCAGGGGGCAAAGACCTTTTTACAGGGTGATAAAAAAGCACAAATCAAATAAAGAAAAAACTTGATAAAGTGGACTTCAGTGAAATTAAAACTTCTGCTTTTCAAAGCACTGTTAAGAAAACAAAAGGCAAACAATGGAATGGGAGAAAATGTGCAGTACTTACATCAGAGAAAGGGTTGTATTAAAAACCAAAAAGAACTCTTATGACTTCCTGCCAAGATGAGAAAAAGGGAGAGGGATGGACTTGAGCAGAAGCCTCACAGAGGAGGACATACAAATGGCCCATGAAGTACATGAGAGAGATTTTCATCATGGGTCTTCAGGAAAATCAAATTAAAACCACAATAAAGTACTAAAATGTACCCAGAAGAACAGCCAGAACAAAAGAGACGGACAGCACCAAGAGCTGGCGAGGACGCCCGAAGAGCAGATGTCCTCCTGCCAGCAGGCGAATCCTGGGATTTCAGCCCAAACTTACACCTCAGCCGGCTGTCGTCTTCGTGAAAAGTGCTCAGAAACTTGTAATGGAAGGAGAAACGGTGCTAAAGCTTACACACAAGTCCTAATGGGAAACAGAGTCCCTGGCAAAGTGATGGAGTTTGTGCATGCACCAGAAAGACTTTGCGATGACCTTGCTGCGTTTAAAGTTCTAACGTGGCGGCCTGAGTTCTAAGTGATCCCTGAGGCTAGTGAACACCCCCCGTGGCTGACACAAATGTCCGTCCCACTGGCCACGGGATGTGGGAGGACATCCAACAGCATGCTCCTCCCGTCCGCCACGGACAAAAAATAAACCGTCCCGGACACAATCTTGCTGTTCTGGCAGGAAAGGGGGTGGCAATTCCTTCTAGTGGAGAATGCCCCAAGTCCTTCTCTCCAATGGTTTTTATTGGGAATGGTATGTGTAGGTGTACACAGCATACGTGGATAGCTCATCAGTCAGTGTCAAAAGGCTCTAATCACACAAAAACAGGTATTTACAGTTAACAACGGAAGGAACACAGAGATTTGTCATAGGTCACGGTCTGTTAGCCAGAGGGTGTTTCATGAGATAACAAGTTTATTCCTTATGCCTTGAACTTAAACATTCAGTTTATGTCACCAGGGCTATACAAAACAAAGCACAGCAAGCTTCAAAGGATACAATGTACATTATAGGCCTGGTTCCCATGGGAACCCTTGGTGTTAGAGTCCAGTCATGCTTGCCACCTGCGTTTTTACCTCGTTTTCCAGGGAGACGTACTACCCCCTTTCAGGGCCTGCTCTTGTGGGACTGCAGTCTCGAAAACCATACAGAGTGGTTCCCAATGACAGGATGTTACCCTCTTGTCTACTTGCACATTTTACTTCCTCCCTATAATTGTAATTGATCTGAGGAAGAATACAATTTAAACTATCATGCAGTATGACTATACTCAACTTAAATATATAACTTTTTCTTTTATAATTCTATAGTCCAAATTACTGACATTTACAAGTACACGAGACTTAATGAAGATTCTATACTTAAAAGTACATTTTCTAAAAAGCACTACTGTGCCGGAGCAAGCTGGGCCTGCTGGGCCTCCGGGTGGAGCTGCAGTCTACCTTGGGAACTGTGGAAGTCGTCCTCCTGCTCCTTCTGGCTGCAGCTTGTGCTCCTAGGAGGGTTGCTCAAGTCCCACTCGCACTCGGCAATGAGGTTCAGGACGGCCTCGTCATCAGCATTCATGACCAAGCACTTCTTGGCAGAAGGGTCAGTGCACTTAGCTCTGGAGTGGTTCGGTCTGCAAGGAAAAGCCAGCTCAGTGCTGTCACTCCAACCGGGGCACACTCCAGCCCGCACAGCCCCCGTGAGGGGAGACGACTGCATTGCCAGCACAGCCACAGGGCTCTTGGGGGGAGCGGTAGGTGCAAGTGCGGGAAATGGCTCTTGTGCCTCCCTCTGCTGAAGTGAGGCAGAGGAGGGACTCAGCAGGACAGCCGGCGGTGGAAAGCAAGGGCCTGTGATGGTGGCACTCTCAAAATCTATGAGAAAAACTACCTCTAATAAAAATCAAAGAACTAAATGAATGGAGAGGCAGTGCACATTCAGAGATAGGAAGACTCAATATTGTCAAGATGTCCCTTCTTCCAACTTGATCTTAAGATGCAATGTAACGCAATCCCAATCAAAATCCCAGCAAGGTATTTTGGGGATATTAACAAACCGATTCTGAAGTTTATATAACAAGGCAATTGCCCTTGAATTGGCAACTCAATATTGAAGAAGAACAAAGTTGGACCAGCTAACTCATAAACTCAGGTGGAGGAAGGAGCTAGGGAGCTCTGTGAGGCGTCTTTTAGAAGAGCGCCGGTCTCACTCACGAAGGGCCCACCATTCATGACCTAATCACTGCCCGAAGGCCCTATCTCCCAATACCATCGATCATCTTTGGGATTAGGATTTCAACATATGGATTTGGGGTGGGGGAGGCACATTCAGACCATTGTACAGGGTACCAAGTACGGTTGTCTACATAGCACTCAGTCTGGTCTGAAATAGGGAAGTAAGGGCAAGGGAGGCTACGGGGGGGACATCTAAGGGATCAGGAGATCCCAAGGATTTGGATCTGATCTTAAGGTATTAGAACAGAAGTTGGTCAAGTATAGGCCAGGGGTCACATCTGGCCCACTGCCTGTTTTATAAAATAAAGTTTTATTGGAACACAGCTAATCCTTTAAGTATTGCCTATGGCTGCTTTCACTCAACACAGGCAGAATTTAGAAGCTGGGACAGAGATCATATGGTCCACAGAGCTAAAAATATTCACTCTCCAGCCCTTTACAAAAAAACCTGGCCAACCTCTACATTATAGGAATTTATGAATACGCTAAGGCATATCATGCAAGAAAAAGAAAACGATTAAAAGCTTCAGACAAAACAAAATGGTGTACAAGAAGAAGTACATAACCCTAGCACATTGAGAGAAATGTAAACAGTTGATTGACTTTTGCCTTTAGAATCAACCCATACGCAAAGTATAAAGACTCTTGATGGCTTCAGAACAGTTAAATACTATCAACCCTGATGACCTAAAGTTAAACATAAAGATGCAGATGGTAGGAATGGGAGGCACCAGTGGGCACGCACTCCCACAGGCCTACCACAGCAGAGCCTGGAGCACGGCCACAGGACACTGAGCGGAGAATACAGGGGGAGGGGCACAGTCCACATATTGTAACCACGGTGCGGGGAAGGGGTGACAGGAGCTGTCAGGTCCTGCTTCAAGTGTGCACACCCAAAAACGGCAATTAGTTTGTGCTGCCTGCTGATGAGCAAGTATGTTAAACAGGACCTGGAAGCAGAGACAGTTACAGGAATGAGTGCAAGCGGCTGCTGGGGAGTGGGCCAGGCGGTGGGAGAGAGAACTCGTGTTTGACCACATTCCGCACTATCGTTTTACATGTGTTACTTTAACAAACACTTTAATATTAAAAATAATTCATACAAAATGTGGACCACGGAGAGAGACTCTATCCCACTGTCGCCTTGAGCCCCAGCTGGTATCCAGTGTTTCTCCTTCCCTCTTTTTTTCCTGCATGTCCGCCCTTTAAGTGGTGATCGGTGCACAAAAACATCTCTTACATCTTTTAGTCAACACAGAGCTTTCTATCTTTTAGTTAAACACGCTATGACCAGACAAGCCTGAGTACCTTCCTTCCACAAACACCGCGCGTGTTCATACCTTCCAACTCTGCAGACAGCTGGGAAGCTGTGTGTGGAGTCGAGTGATTCCTCAGAAGCGAAGTGCAGCTGGGATGCCTTCCGCTCGCTCTCTCTCACGGGGCGGTCGTCTAGGGAGAAAACACCGCCGAGAAACTAGCAAGTGATGCCGTGAAGCCGTGAAGCGGGCACACCTCCTGGCATTCCATCAATACCCTGCAGTACACCACACATGGCCAGGGTTGCCACCACTCATTCTGGATCTTCCATCCCCTCTGGACTGACCCTGCCACTGCTGATGCAGTGTCCTGCATTAGCACTGAACAGACCCAATAAAGGGAGGCTGGGCTTTGGTGGCTACACTCGGTTTCTCAGCGATGCTGAGTGCTGATTCCAAAAGAACCACCCTGCCTGCCGAAAGCTCACACCTCAGACACTGCATTGGAGGCAGGCTGCCGCCGCAGGAGAAGAAGTACACACACAAGTTCCCACACAGGGATCCCTTCTCCATCTCCTTCCTTCTTTATCCTAACCCGAGGGTATATTTGATTTTAGAGAGAGAGGAAGGGAGAGAGAAACATCAATGTGAGAGAAAAACATCAATCAGATGCCTCCCATACACACCCTGACTGGGGATCAAACCACAACCCCAACTAGGGGTCCAACCCACAACCTTCTGGTGTATGAGACGATGCTCCAACCAACTGAGCGACCTGGCTGGGGCCAGGCTCCCTTCTTTTAATGCACATTTTAGGTGTGCATTCTTGAACCACACTGAACACACCTGAGAGTCTCCATGGGTGAGAACCCTGAACATGCTGGAGAGAAGACAGCCTAGGCATGTGTTTATGCCTAGCATTTGCGTCCTCAGATCCTCAAGACTGGGAAATAAGAGTTAGGTTTAAACTGTCCTCTGGTGCCCTGGGTCTCAAAGGCAACTTCTGGACTTCCCTCAGGAAATACTGAACATGAGGTGATTCAAATGCTGAAAAGTTAGTGTGGTGGAATTTGCAACATATTTGAGCACAGAATTAACATTACAAATGGTGGTTAAGTTCCTAACCTGCCCTCCAAAGAGCATTTAACCTGTGGCAAAACCCAAAAGTATACCATTCCCATTTAAAAATGAGTAAATGAGCCGCTGTCAAAGCAGAGAAACGAAGGAACTGGGGAAACCACCTGGAAGCACACTTGCAACTAGGGCTGCTCCTTGAGACACAGCTGCGGTCCTAACCCCGTGACCTCCCCCCTCTCCTCCCAACCTTGAGACACGGCCTGGGACCTCCTGGCCTCCACTCTCCCACATTCCCCCAGCATGGCACCTGCTCTCCCGGTGTGGACACCCCTTGTGCTCACAACGTACAACTCTACTCACTGAGCCTTAACTTCACTTTTGTTTTAATCCTCGCTCAAGGACATTTTTTCATTGCTTTTTAGAGAGAGGAAGGGAGAAACTGTGATGTGAGAGAGAAACATCGACTGACTGCTTCCCGTAAACACCCAGACCATGAATCGAACCCACAAACTAGATTGTGTGCCCTGACCAGGAATTGAACCTGTGACCTTCAATTATGGGATAAAGTTCCCACCAAGCCACACACAGGCCAGGGCTGAGCCTTAACTTCACTTTTGAGTCAGTTCCAAGTCCCTTATTCTAAGAATATTTCTCTGGACTATTCCACTATAAATTCAAACTCAGTCTGGCTAAAACCAAATGCAAAATTCATTCTCCCCAAAACTATACTCTCTCCCTATTACCAAACAAAATGGGATTCGGCCTCCTGCTGCCATACACAAGTATAACACAATAATTGGTGGGGAAGGAAAAAGGTTTTTATTAACAGGTTGCCTAATTTGGGGGAGCAAGAGGCTCCCCTTCTCCAAGCCATTATCTTCAGCAAAACACAGAAATCCCCTTGGAATTCACTCTTAAAAGACTGAAATCCAAATCCATGTCCAGAGATTTCTCCCCACCCCCATTCTTATCTGTCCTTTTGGAGTTCAAGGCTGCCATGCCAACAGATCTACATCTCTCCAGCCCCAGGCTCCCTCTCTCTGGAGTGCACACTTGTGGAGTTGGCGTCTCCATCTCCCCACCACAGCCTCCTCCTTCCACCCAGCCCAGTGCCTGCCAGATCACTGCAGCTGGTTGTGTGAGGGGCTCCGTCCTGGGGGCCCCTGGGGGTCCAAGGCTGCTTGCAGTCCCGGAGCTGAAGAACGTTCCGGTGCATCCGTGTGCTGCTCTCAGAGCCAGAGACTGGGAGCGGTGACAAGTGGTGCGGGGCCGCAGTGTCCTGCACAGGACCCAGCATCTGGGAGCTGGCTCCCAACAGTGTGAGGGGAATGCAAAAGTGGGCAAGTATCTCTGCGCCCTCCATTTAAAACCTTTCCCCCCAAATCCTACATGCTGTTGGAGTGTCCAAATTCCCAGCTAACTCAAGCTAATGTCTACCACGTGCATCAGCCCGCAGTGTTGTCTGCCCCTCCGCCTGCCGCCATGACCCAGAAGTGGGAAGGAGGGTTCTAGTCATGTGTAGGGGCACAATGTCTCTGCCCAGGGCAGGGATCGCCGCGCTCACCTTCACGATGCACATGTGTTGTGACCTTTTCAGCCGATACATGCCCTGTGTAAGCGGTGTCATGAGCCACATTAGTTATTTGCCCTTCCCTGGGGTATGGAAGCCTGTCAGGCAGTTTCGCTTGCGATTTCAATGCCCTGCCTTCAGCACTTCCGGACCCCTCTTGGGCATCCCTCCCCTCTGCCCAGCGATCTGGCCAGACCTCTCTGTTACACCCTGACTCTGCAGCATCCTCCCAGATCTCACAAGCCCCAGACCCATACACATTGCCTGCTCTGCTCCTGGACCCCACTTCTACTCCACAGGTCGCCCTTGATGCCCCACTGCCATTCTCCACACACTTCCAGAGCCTTCAGTCATTCTCTCGGAACAAACGACCGAGCGCCCGATCTCACTGCACAGTCTGCTAGAGCGAGCGGGCCACGAGTCCTGCAACGGCTGTGACTTTCAATCACATTCCTTTTTGTGTCTGGAAATATCTTTCCCACATGGAAAGACTCTCACACCCATTCTCTGTATAAACATTGTAAGATTGTGAACCTAAAACTTTTATGACAAAAGAAAAGTAATGACTTAAGACAGAAAATTGCAAAATATGTTCCATGATAAGGGTTGTAATGCTTCTGAAAAGAGCCAAATTCAACTATAAGTTGCTTAGAGTTAAAAGTTAGAAGAGAAGTACTTATTCCTCTCAAATATCTAAAAATTAAAATAAAACCCTGACGTTTAAGTAGGTTTGACTCAACAGTATGCCTTGGGGGTCAGTCATTAATACCCACAGCCTGGCCCTGCCCCAGGCCCAGGCTGTGGAGAGGGCACTGGAGGATAAGCTGACACACACCTGCCACTGAGATGTGCGCAAATCCACCCCCAGCGGCCTGCCTGCCCCTCAGTATTGACCACGTGGACAGTGGCAGAACAACGCCTTCCCTGACAGACGCTGCCCTGATGTGGGCCTCCCTTTGGTTTTGTTGGGTCAGAACCCAGGAGAGGGAGATTCCCCAGATGCATCCCCAGCCTTGCCAAGAAGTGAATGGGCCTGCAGACTGAGGGCACGCTGTGGTTACTGGGGCACACGACACCCCTTGATCAGACATTCCTGCACCACAGCTACCAGCACTGACCACCCCCTTCACACAGAAGGGTACGAGGCCCCCAAGCTCTCCCTCCCCCAAGACCTGCGCACCCCATGGTCCTGGGTTCATGCTCCAGCTCTTCCCCCTTGAAGTGCAACGTGAAGGAGCATCGGAAGTGCCACTGGCCACACTGCTCACAGCAAAGACATCTCCTGGTAGGTGGGGGGACAGGAGGGAAGGTGCCAGTGTGGCTTCCCTGAGTGTGATCCTCCCAACTGGACCTGTCCAGCTGGCACCCTGCAAGCGCTGCCTGTGACCCTGTCGCAGAGATCCATTTCTTTTACAGACATGGGTTACTAAGCCCAGGTGGTGGCTTACCTGCCAACAAAACCACCTCACTCTCTCTTACCCCTGTCACTTGTGGGAGGGTGTGAAACAATGAACTTCTAGTCTCCATCTTTCTAAGTGAGTACGAACCCAGCAGAATCCAGCTGTTTAGCTGAACCTGAGGTGATGGCCAGGGCCATGCACAGAAGCCGGGCACCAGAAGTTCAGAAATGTGCTGCAAAATAGCTAGAAAGTGAAGCCAGAGTGAGACTGAACAGTCCAGCCCACGCCTGCGCTTTTGTCCTCCCTAACAATCATGTGTGGCCACAGGTTCCCTGTCACCTTCCCAGGCAGCTCTCCGACAAGGCCCATTCTGTGACACAGGACTCATGCCAGAAGAGTAGAAAACAACCTTCCTTTTCAGAAAAATCAGCGGTGCAATCTGTCCAATGCTCCAAACACCAGCCGGGGCCCCAGGAGCAGGGTGTGAGCACGCCGCGCCTACCGAGCTGCCTGAGCTTCGGCAGCATGTGCACGACGAAGAGGCGGTAGTCAGACTCGTTCTTCACCACAGGGTTCAGTCGGAAGTCCACGTCCGTGAGCTCCGTCAAGCAGTGGAGCCGGAGTACTTCTGCTAGTGAGGAAATGCAGTTGTAGTAGAGATTGAGACTTTCCAGTGCAGCCAGGTACTGAATACCCTGTTAACAGGACAAAATGCTAATGAGTGCATGCTTTACAAACACAGAGTAAAATGGGCCAGCAGTGCTGACTGACCAACCAGCTTAACAAATGCACTAGTAACAACGACATGCTATTTTACGGGTAGAGAACAAACCTGAAATGTGTTCTCATCTACCAACTTCTGTCCTGCACACAGCGACTGGCTGTTCAGGGAAGTTCACAACAGTCATGACCACTGAGGACAGCATGTTCTCAGCATGGGCCAAGCTAAGCGATTTATACAACTCCACTCTGTTGTACACAACCCCACAGAGTAAGCCCTATCCCTGTTCTCATTTCACAGATGAGACAACTCAGGCTCGGAGGGGCTGAGAGGTGAGCCAGCACTGGTTGCAACCTGGATTGAAACTCGCCTTTGACTCCCAGCCGACTCCTGACCCCCAAGTCAAGGGTGCTGAAACTATTATGTTCCTGGGCAGCTACGTCCTGCCTTTCTTTCTGGCCAGAACCCCTCTCCATTTAAGCCACTCGCCACCATCACCTGGCTGACTTCTTACTCACTCACTAGGACCGAGCCTCTGCTGGGTTAGGCCCACTGCAGCAAACCGGCACTTGTGGCCTGCGGCGACCCAGAGGCACACAGTAAACGGAGCTGCAGTGTGGAAAATGGATAAAGAAAAATACAGCTGACAGAAAGGTGGAAGAGTCAGGGGCATGCACACAGTAACCTTCTGGGCTTAGTTTATTCCTTACAAGATACAACTGTTCATCAGAGCACTACGACTTCCAGCTGTCGAAGTAGTTTCAAGGTGTGCTGTGACACACAAGCAACCTGGCACACACAGGAAATGCAAGGAAATGGCCTTGCACGTAAATCCCCGTCCATGTGCAATACACAAGCACCACAGGCATGGTTACAAAACAGATTTCATTTTTAAATGTAAATGTGCTTTCCACTACTGCAGGTGATAGCACTAAATTCTCTTTTAAGAAACAAACCTAAAACTTACCTCTAGACTAACCAAGGAGTTACGTGAGAGATCCAAAGATTTTAGACCTGTTAAATTCATCAAAGAATTTCCCAGGTGAGTAATCTTTTCTTGATAGGTTCCAGGAATAGATAATGACCGAAGTTCAGCTAGGAATAGAAAATTATGAGATATTAACCTTATTTTTAAAGTGAAAATAAATTGTCATAAAAGTGAGATATCATAATCTCAAGAACTGCATTTAAAATTTTAGCTCATGTTCACCTCCAAACGCCTGTGAACCCATGCCTGCTCCTCACCCCACTGCCTCTCTGTCCAGCACCCGCTGTCACCAGGAACGTCCTGCTGTTTGGGCTCCTGCTTCCACTCCCATGTCCACCCCACTGCCTGTGCAGCCTCCATGCAGGGGTCACTACGTAGCTGACCCGGCCACTCCATGCCCATTACACGTGAGAGCAAACTGCATGCCCCGTGCACTGTGTGCTCTGCATGGCATACCCAATAAGCACACATTAAATACATGTCACCACAAAAATAAGTTTCTGTAGTCAAAAAAAATCTGGGTCTAAATGCACCAGTACTTTCCCAGTGATACTTATGGTTTAAAACGTGTCTTCATTAAAGAAACTGGTTTGCAGGTTTTCAGTCCAGGACAAGACAGGGTAGACACATTTCAAACGAATTCTCCCAATCTGTCATCCTAAAAACCAGGGACAACAATACAGAAAACAAACACCAGACAACTCTGAAGGGTGGGGAACAGAAAGCCAGCTACCTAGGGACCTCAAAAAATGGTCAAAAGATGATACACCATGATCAGGTGGGGTTTACTGCTGGGATGCAAGATTGGTATAAATCCATCCGCAAGTTGACTAATGTGATATGCCACGTAAACAAAATGAGGATAAAGATCATATGATCCTATCAACAGATGCAGGAAAAGCATTTGACAAAATCCAGCACTACGTATGATAAAAATCTCAGCAAAGTGAGAATAGAGAGAACACACCTCAAAATAATAAAACCCATATATGGCAAACTTACAGCTAACAAAATATTGAATGGGGAAAAAACTAAGTGTTTCCCTTAGGACAGAAACAAGACAGGGACGTCCACTTTCACCACTCTTATTCAGCAGAGTGCTGGATGGAGTCCCAGCCACAGCAACCAGAGGAGAAATAAAAGACATCCAAACTGGAAAGGAAGAAGTAAAATTGTCATTATTTGCAGATGACATAATATTGTATACCAAGAACTCTAAAGATTCCACACATATGAAAAAATACTAGAACTGATAAATGAATTCAGTAAAATAGCAGGATAAAAAAAATATTCAGAAATCAGTTTAATTTTTTTATCCTCACTCGAGCATATGTTTATTGATTTGAGAGGGAGAGGGAGGGGGAGTGGGGTGGAGAGAGAGAGAGAGAAAGAGAAACACTGATGTGAGGGAGAAACATCGATTGGTTGCCTCCCCCACAGCTAAGTATGCACCTGACCGGGGATGGAATCTGCAACCATCTGGAGTGTGGGATGACGCTCCAACCAACCGAGCAACCTGGCCAGGACAGTTGCATTTTTATACACCAATAATGAACCATCAGAAATGGAAACTTAAAAAAGCAATCACACTTACAAGTGCACAAAAATAAATAAATAAATAAATAAAATACCTAGAAACATATTCAATCAAGGAAGTAAAAGATGTGTCCTTGGAAAATTATAAGACATTGAAGAAACTGTGAAGATACAAATACATGGAAGCATGTACTCTGCTCATGGATAGAAAGAATTAACGTAGTTAAAATGTCCACACTACCCAAAGCAGTCTATAGATTCAATGTGATTCCTATATCAAAAGACCAATGGTGTCTTTCACAGAACTAGAACAAATAATCCAAAAATGTATTTGAAACCACAACAAAAACCCCAAACAGCCATAACAATCTTAAGAAAGAAGAAAAAAGTTCGAAGTATTATGCTACCTGCTATCAAACTATAGAATAAGGACATAGTAATCAAAGTAGCACGGTGCCGGCACGAGAACGAGCACATAGGTCAATGGAACTGAACAGAGAGCCCAGAAATAAACTCACTTCTATACGGTCAATTATTACTTGACAAGGCAGGCAAGAACATACAATGGAGCAAAGACAGTCTATTCAATAAATGGTTTTGCGAAAATTGGACAGATGCAGGCAAAAAAAATGAAACTAGACCACCTTTTTATACCATTTACAAGAACAAACTCAAAATGGATTAAAGACTCAATGTAAGACTCAAAACCATAAAATTCTTAGAACAAAACATAGGCAGTAAAATCTGACATCTCTCTTAGCAGTGCATTTTCTGCTATATCTTCAAGGGCATGAAATCAAGAGAAAAAATTGACAAACGGAACTACATCAAACTAAAATATTTTTACAAAGCAAAAGAAACCATTGATGAAGCGAAAAGACAACCTACTGAATGGGAGAAAATACTCACCAATGATATATCCAATAAGGGATTAATACCCCAAATTTATAAAGATCTCATACAACTCAATGCCAAGAAACAAACAAACAATCCAATTTAAAAAATGGGCAGAGGACTTGCAATGCAGACACGGGCCTGCAGTGACCACGTCATTATGGATGAAATGAGACATTCACATGTACTACCGAGTCCAGTGGAGGAAAAGGGACAGCATGGCTTTTCTCTCAAGGGGAGCAAAAGCCTTGGCCCTTGCCATGACTGGCCTTTACTGGGTTTCTCCTCACATTACACGATGGTCCTCATTTACTATGCACAGGTTTGCTTTAAGTGGTTACCTTTTACAGACAACAAAGGAGAGGATGCTGCTAATCACATCACAGAAGAGGGATATTTGCAAATGAAAAGGCAAAAGTAGTTGAACTGGTTATACTCATCCTTGGAAGGGTTAGCACGGATTTTAGGAAGTTACTTTGCAGTAAATGTCCTCAATTCAGGGTGAGGGAGTTTTTTTAGCAAAAGCAAGACTCAAAGCAGCCTAGACACATTGTTGGCCTGATTCCCCATGGGAGAACCTATCCGTGGGCGTGGGTCCTGTGCGTCTCTGAGTGGAAGCTGGGCCCACACCACGCAGAATGGTCTCCTACAACTTGAGTAGACACTTCTCTAAAGAGGACATACAAATAGTCAACAGACATATGAAAAGATGTTCAACATCACTAATCACCAGAGAAATGCAAATTAAAACCACAGTGAGATACCATCTCAAACCTGTCAGAATAGTTTTCATCAATAAATCAATAAACAAGTGCTGTTGTGGGAACAGACTGGTGCACCCACTGTAGAAAACAGCAGAGATGATCCTCAAAAAATGAAAAATGGACCCAGTGATTCCATTTCTGGGTATATATCCAGAGAAACCCAAAACCCTGATTCGAAAGAATATACGCACCCCTATGGTCACTGCTGGGTTACTTACAATCGCCAAGACATGGAAGCAACGCAGGTGCCCATCAACAGATGAGTGTTCAAAAAAGCTGTGGCACATGCAGGGGTTGGCAAAAGCAGGTTTCCAGTTGTGAGTAACATTCTTTTGAGTTAATAAAGCTACTGTAATAATCCTAACCTGCACACGTCTTTCCATGTGAACTGTAAACCTACCTCTGCCCACCCCATATACCTAGTGGAATATTACCCAGCCATAAAAAAGAATGAAATCTTAACACCTGTGACAGCATGGATGGACCCAAAGATTATTATGCTAAGTGAAACAAGCCAGTCAAAGAAAGACAAATACCACATGATTTCACTTACATGTGGAAACTAAGGAACAAAATAAACAAAATGGAAACAGACTCATAGATACAGAGAACAGATTAATGTCTGCTGGAGGAGGGATCGGAGGGACTGGGTGTAAAAGGCGAAGGCAGTAAGTACAAATTGGGAGTTCCAAAAACAGCCACAGGATATACAGTACAGCACAGGGAATATAGTCAGTAATGATGTAATAACCGGGTATGGTGCCAGTTGGGTCCTGGACATATCCAGGGGAGCACTTTGTAGAGTATATGAGCATCTGACCACTGTGCTGTACACATAAAGCTGATACAAAATAAAATTGAATGTCAACTGTAATGAAGGGAAGGGAAGGGAAGGGAAGGGAAGGGAAGGGAAGGGAAGGGAAGGGAAGGGAAGGGAAGGGAAGGGAAGGGAAGGGAAGGGAAGGGGAGGGAAGGGGAGGGGAGGGAGGGGAGGGAGGGGAGGGGGAGGGGAGGGAGGGGGAGGGAGGGGAGGGAGGGGGAGGGGAGGGAGGGAGGGAGGGGAGGGAGGGGAGGGGGAGGGGGAGGGGGAGGGGAGGGAGGGAGGGGAGGGAGGGGAGGGGGAGGGAGGGGAGGGGAGGGAGGGAAGGGAAGGGAAGGGAAGGGAAGGGAAGGGAAGGGAAGGGAAGGGAAGGGAAGGGAAGGGAAGGGAAGGGAAGGGAAGGGAAGGGAAGGGAAGGGAAGGGAAGGGGGAAGGGAAAGGTCAAGCAGTGAATGCCCTGGGTTGGTTTGGGTGTTTTTGTTTGGTCTCCTGTACACTCCACCCCAATCTGAGTGCCAAAGGAGCTGTCAACGTAGAAGCGCCAGTGGAAACTGACCAAAAAATACGTCAGCCCCACTCCAGCCCAACACCAAGGAGGAAAACATGCACCTGGTACACCTGGCCTTGTACAGTGGCCCGCACAGGGGCTGTGAGAGTGGGCCCTGACTACTGTCCTGGCCTGGCCGTGACGAGGTGGCCTGCAGGCATGTGCAGAGGTCATGTGTGTGATAGGAGCCTGCCTGGCCACCGCCTCAGCAGCAAGGCAGCACTCAGTTGGTGCCTGTAATGACTGAGATTTAAACAGAAGGCAGAGTCTCACCACTTAACATCTGAAATGTCCATGACACAACAAAAAATTACCAAGAACTAGTAACATCTCAATTTGAATGAGAGAAAACCATCAAGACACATGAACACTGAGATGACAGAAGTCAGAATTCTCTAACAAAAATATTAAGACAACTATTATAACAATAATTTGGTAAGCAACTGCAAACACCCCTGGAACAAATGAAAATATAGGAACTCGTGGCAAAAAAACACTATAAAAAAGAAACAAGAAATTTCAGAAATGAAAAATAGCTGAAACAGAAAGAAATTACAGGAGTGGCTCAATAACAGAATAGAGATGACAGAGGAAAAAATTAAAAATGTAAATGCAGAGACAGACTGGCCAAAATTATTCTATCTAAGCAACAGAGAGACCATAGGCTTAATAGGCATTACCCACAGAGGAAAAATAATTCACACGGCAGGGAATTACTCTTCAGAAACCACAAAGGTCTGAAGACGTGATAACACATTTCTCAAATGATGAAAGACAAGAACTTTCAACCCAGTTAGATGTAACTTTCAATCTACATCTAACAAAAACAGCCTTCAGGACTTCCAACAAAATATTCTCAAATACAGAATCACTGAGAGTGTATCACCAGGACACGTACCCAAAGCTAACTGCTTAAAAAAAAGTTCTTTAGCCCTGGCTGGCGTAGCTCAGTGGATTGAGCACGGGCTGCGAACCAAAGTGTCGCAGGTTCGATTCCCAGTCAGAATACATGCCTGGGTTGTAGGCCATGACCCCCCAGCAACTGCACATTGATGTTTCTCTCTCTCTTTCTCCCTCCCTTCCCTCTCTAAAAAATAAATAAATAAAATCTTAAAAAAAAAAGTTCTTTAAATATAAAGATACAAGAAAGAATGAAGAAAAATAAGAGGATAAACATGTGGGTAAATACGTTTCCTTCTGAGTTAGTTAAAATGTTAGATGACTGTACTATCATTAATGTAGTTTCAAAATATGTACAGGAAATATTTAAAACAACTAAAATATAAAGCAGGGATGATAATGAAACCTAAGTGGTGGCGAGGTTTCTCCATTTCACCCGAGCTGGTAAAATGTCCACACAAGTAGACTGTAATTTGTAATGCAACCACTAAAAAAAAACAAACAAAGAGATATGCTAAAAAATATAAAAGGTAAATCAAAATGGAAAGCTAAAAAATATTCAAATAAACCACAAGAAGGCAGGAAAAGGGAAACCAAACCAAAAACAAAGAGAACAAACAGAAAACAAATAATAAAATGGCATACTTAAGCCCTACTGTGTTGATAATTACATTAAGTGTAAATGGTCTAAATACACTACAAAAGACAGAGATTGGCAATGTATTTAAATGAACGAAATATACACTGTCTACAAGAAACTAATTTCAAATGTAGTGATATAGGCAGGTTAAAATAAAAAGTAAAAGGATGGGGAAAGATATGCCCTGCCAACCAATCAAAGTAAAGCTGGAGCGGCTACACTAATATACAACACAGATGTCTCAACAAAAGAAATTATCAGGGTCAAGAGGAACACTGCATATACAATACGAGTCACTCCAACAAGACGACCAAAAATCCTGAATAGTATGTGACAAATAGCACAGCCTTAAAATATGTGAAGTGGAGGGAGAAACATAAAATGCACAATTATATTGCAATAGTTAGGTCCCCCACCTCATCCCCTCCCCCCCTCCTACCTCCACGTCCCATATCTTCCCCACAAGGGCCCCCTACCCAGCCTTCCACCCCTCACCCTCTCTTTTGCACCGCCCCCCCCACTCCCACCCCATCACCTCCCAGGCCTGTGATCGTTCGAGACCCGCTTGGTCCCTGTGCCGGCGCTTCTGGTCTGACCCCCTGGCGGGAAGCTCGCACCCTCAGCCAGCTTCCCCGCCCGCCTGCCGGCCACCACGCACCCAGGTCGTGGTGAGGCGCCAGGCCGCTCTTCTCCCGGATCTTGTCCTCACACAGCACCAGCAACGAGCCCACTGGCGCCATGCTTTCAAACGGCAAACCTCTGAGCCTGCGCCTGCGCAGATTGGTAGTCGGGGGCCGGACTAGGTGGGACTTAGGGCGGGGTCGCGGCAGGATCCGGGGACTCGGCGGGGACTGCAAGTGGGCGGGGCCCGCAGCTGGGACCCGATCGAAAAGGCGGGGCCGAGGACCTAAAGCAGTGAGGAAAATGGCCAGGGCAATTGAAGCAGGTAACCTGGGTGGTCCAGACCTCTGGCCGCAGGGTTGGATTGAGTTGCCCCAGGACCTAGGGCGCTGGGTGACCCGGGACTGCTCTTCCTACGATGTCCCTGAGACGCTGTCGCTTCCTGAGCCTGGTGCCTTCCCCGGGAAAGACGCTTGCGGGTAGGGACCCCGGTTTACCTGGTGACCGGCTCCACGTGAAGACCAGTCCCACCTAGTGACCCGCCCCAAGATGAGGACCCCGTTGCCCCCCAGCATTATCCATGTCCTGGGCTAAATCCCCGCACGTGGAGGAGCAGTTCTCTCCCACCTTAGTCACTCGGCGGCGGCCAGTCCTCATCTGTCCTGGTTCTCAACTTCTCGGCGATCTCCAGTGTCCGATTTTGCTAGCCACCCGCTGACCAGAAGGTTCGTTGCGTCTGTTCCTCTGGGTCCTTTATGGGGAGTCGTGAGGAGCCCTTAAGATCTACAGGACTTAGGGAACACCCCATTCCAGGTCTGAATCTGCCCCACCCAGCTGATACCCTGGGTACCCCTCCCTAACCCCCTCCTGGTGTCTGGGGGCGCCCCTGCTACCCCTTAACCCCATATTTAACCAGCTTGTTAGTATCGTCCCCTGGCATGTCACAGGCAGGGTGGTGGAGCAATATAGGGGTGTGTGGGGTAAAGGTGGTGTTATGCAGTGTGCCCCAACTCTGAGCTTCAAACCTGCCACACAGGCCTCCTCCTTGGGCACCCGTGCAGTCATTTATCCAGACCGTAGAACACTCAGTAACACTGGGTGAAGATTGTCCTGTAATACAATCTATCCTGAGACTGTTCCTTGGTCCCCTTCCTACAAAACTGGAGGGCGTCCAGCACATCCCAGGCCAGCTTGTGGGTCACCACACCAGGTTTCTGCTGAGTGGAACTTTGTGCAGCCAAGAGACTTAGAAATAGTGAACAAATATCCTTGCTTTTCAGAAGCAAACAAAGGCAGACAAAAGGCTTCTGTCGGTCACAACCCAAGACAAGTAGCTTGTCAGACACAACCCACACTACAAACACCAGCTGCTTCCTCCTGCCTGCGGTCACCTCAGGTCAGGTGGCCCGGTCTTTGAGGCTGAGCTGTGGAGAGCAGACCTTGAACATGTCCTGTGGGACAGCACCACACAGTGTTTCTAATGTCCCAGAAGTGCCAAAAAAAACTTTGAAAATCACATTTTCTGTTACTGAAGTATTGCATATTCATTGTAGAAGAGGCAAAAAATTTCAGAAGAAAACAAATGTTAAACATTTTCCCACGCAGAGATAACCAGTGTTAACACTTCACGTGTGTCCTTCAGGGACGTCTTCCAAGCCAGTGTGTATTTAACACTGGTGAGACTATGCTGAGCATTCTCATAGACACACATTAGGTTCGCTTAAAAGTCCTTTTGTTTTTTTCCGTACGATGCTCTAGTAGTGCTTAGTTGTCTTTAACTTCATTCCAAACAATTTTGTTAGACTGTATTATGACAGCTGTCATATCAGCATGCATTTAAAAAGAACATCAGAATTAGTGAATTTCTGTGTAGCCATTTTAATATTGAAGATGGAAGAAAATACACATTTTGGCATATTATGCTTTATTTTTTCAAGAAAGGTAAAAACAACTGAAAAGCAAAAAAAATATTTGTGCAGTGTATGGAGACGGTGCTGTGACTGATCAAACATGTCAAAAGTGGTTTGCAAAGTTAATGTGCTAGAGATTTCTCACTGGACAATGCCCCATGGTCGGGGAGATCAGTTGAAGTTGACAGCGATCAAATTGAGACATTAATTAACAACAATCAACATTACACTGCACCAGAGGTAGTCGACATACTCAAAATGTCCAAATCAATAAAGTTATTAGTGAAAATGAAAACCCTATCTCTTATTTTATGGAAAAAACTAAACGGACTTTTTGGCCAACCCAATTTTTTTCCTTTTTATGAACACTGTTGCTAAATACTCTTCAACATCATCATTAAACATCATTTTTAATGGTCACACTAGATTGTGACCACTAAACCCAGATTTTTTTAACTGTTTCTTCTTTTCTATGGAGACAAATCTAGTGGGATGTTGTTTTGAAGTTCCTTTTGAGATGCCCTGGAGCGCACCCTAGAGATGTAAAACAGGTTGGTTTCCCACCTTCCCCAAGACTCCGGAGCTTATCCCAGGTCCTCAGAGCCAGAGCGGCTGAGGGGAACCTACATGCCCCTGAAACATGTTTTAGCTACTCTGAATTGTCTGTCATCTCTGTGTTGTGAGAAAGCCAGCAATGTTATTTTACCAATGAGGAAACCACACAGTGGCCAACTGGGTGCGATTTGACTGAAAATCAGGGTAATATTAGAGCACAGCCTCACCTGTGCTTCTGCACCAGGCCCACACAAGGCAGGGAGCTCCCGTGATCCTGAGTATGAACCACACACCTACATCTTTCGTGTCCACTGACAACTCACACACGCACGCATTCGTGCAGTAACACCAATGCACACTTTCAGGCAGGCTCTCAGCCATCCACCCAAATGCACTCTTACACACGTACAGGAACGTGGGGGGCAGCACACAGCCAGTGCTCCAAATCTGTGGGTCTTTCCCAGCTGAATGGCAGGAATTGCCCTTGGTCACCTGTGGGGCACCATTGAGCTGAAGTGCTCTGGGGCCTCACTCCCACGTTGGAAGTGGACACTGCAGGTGGACACCGTGCAGATGCACCCCAAAGACTTCTCATTGATGGGCCTGTAGCCAGTGCTGCTCCTGAGTCTCTAGGAGCCGAGATGGGAGGCAGGGGTGGCCATCAACCCAGGGAGCTGGCCCTCTCCACCCTCCCTTCCCCCTACCAGCACTTTCTCATAGGGAGCATCTGACCAAGGACAGCTTTGCAGTGGATATACTTCCTTCTCGTGTTCATTTCATTCATAAATATTGAATGAAAGAGCCTGTTCCCTCACTGTATTTCTAACAGTAAATATCAGTATTAATATTTGTGAATTGTCAGTTTCATTTCTTTCAACTAACTTCTCCCCGAAGCGTGGAATGAGATGGGGAGAAAGGGCCTTTCTGAGGCAACTTTTAGGCAAACACTTTAATGGGTGGGCTAGGGGTTCACCATAACATCTCAACATGTAACTAGTCATTTTAACACCGAGCTCCGGTCCTGCTTCTTCTCTGACTTGACAAGACAGGGTGTTGCGTGAGCTCCCTCGGCTCATGGGGCAGCTGCTGTGGCCAGGAGGGAGTCCAGATCTGGAGGCTCCCATGTCTTTGCTTTATGTGGAAGCTCTTGTTGTGCATGATTCATGCCTCATCCTGGGATGGTCAGAATTAGTGGTGTAAGGCCTCCACCTGCAGGACCCCCAGCTCTAGTAGCTTCCCCTCAGAGCTGGGGGCCCTGGTCCCTGGGGTCTCAGCAGTCCCCTGAGAGAGGGGGCACACACTCAACCTACAGATGGACCCTCATGGACCATCACTACAGTGGATGTCAGGACACAGTAATGTCTGCGTGAAAGGCAATCAGAGCAGGAAGCAGAGAGGGGCCACCCTGTGGACTGTGGGATGGGGGTTTCACCTGAGAGTGTAAACATTTTTGTCTTGCTGAGGTATCATTTAAGATACAAGTAAAACCCAGCTAGAATGGGCTATGCAAGGATACGCAACTAGAACCCCCAAGGCGGGAAGGGCTCAGCTTTGCTGATTACAGCTGAACTCCTCAGTTCCTGCAAGGCCTGGCACAATTCCCTCCACCTGTGTCCAGCAGAGACCCCCCACAGCCCCACAAGTCTCCCATCCCCTCCGCCATCCCGCAGTCCACGTGTTCCTGAGCCACCCTGTGCCGGGGGCAGGGAGGCTTCAGTCATGGGAAGAGGAATAGAGGCCAGACGTTTCCTACAGTTGCCAGCACATAAAAACCCGAGACTTCTCAAGGAAAACTGTGACTTCCAGATGTTTTTGAACGTGCGGAGACATGACAATGAGGCCCCTGTTTCTGCATTCTGTGGGTCCATCTGGACAGGCCCTGCCAGCCCCTTGGGCATCTCACTCTGGAGTACAAGGACAGGTGTGTCCAGGGCCCCCCACACTTTCTGGAGCAGCCACCTCCAAGTGCTGGGCAGTTCTCGGACAGGTCCTGGCACACGGCGCCCCACAAACATTGTGTCTTTGTTCTGCTTGTGTACTGGGCACCTTCCAGTGGGAGCTGCCCCTGTGCCTACCCGCTGCCCATCATCCTCCCACCTGCTCCTCTGCTCACTGACAGGAAGAGGTACAGGATCGAGGGGCAGCCCTCAGGCACAGCCCCAGGGTCCCCAGCCTTTCCAAGGACAAGGCCCACCTCTGTGGGGTCTAGGGACCTGTGGCCTGCTCTCTCCTATAAGGCTCTAGGGAGCACGGGGTTCCGGACCAGGTGGAGTGTGGCCTAGGGTGACACAAGGACCCACGCAGAGCCCATGCCCCACCCTAGGTCAGCTGTCCCTAACTGCCCCCCAGTAGTTTGCTACCCACCTACACTGACTCTGCAGACCTGGTATCACCCTGCTGGCTGCCAGCTCATCATTCTCATTGGTCTCAGGGCTGTCACATGGCAGAGCTCATTGAGCACAAGGAGAGGCCACACACTGACACATTTTGTGGCTGGTTGATCACACCCTAATTAAAGTGGGCAGTGTGGAGTGTGGGAACGCTCAGGCTCAGCAGCACAGCTAGAAGCAGAGATGGCTGTCAGTGGGGCAGCCTGGCCCATGGACAAGCAGGGGTGCTATGGGCAGCCTCGCTGCCTCAGGGGGCCAGTTTTCTCCTCTCTAAAATAAAATTAACAGGT